CCACCTCTGTGAACCGCTGTGGCGGGGAGGGGTGGTCTCTCCTCAGGAGAGTCAGCTACAGGGTCTGCGGCCTGCTGTCAGGTTGCGGTAGGAGAGGGACTTTGTGGCTGAGACAGCCTTCATTGTGGAGCTTGGGCAAGCTGATCAGAACCTACCTGAGGTACTCTAAGGTGAGGCCATGAGAAATGGAGGCAGTGAGCAAGAGAGGAGATGGTTCAGCTGGAATGTGCTCTGCTGATTCCCCCGAGAGAGTGGGGAGGAGGATGGTGCTTCTGACCCCGAGCTGGGGAGCTGGCTGGACTCCATATCTCCCTCCAGGAACCTTGCCTTCGTCATTTTACTTCTGGCAGCCCAGGGAGGTCCAAGGGAGTTCCCTAAAGGAAGCGCAATACCCAGGCTAGCCATCTGCATGAACTGGTCAGAGCCCCAGCTGCACCAGGCTGCTCCAGTGAACTCTTCCTTCATCACCAGTCTCTCTGGGCACCAGAGTTGGCACTTCTACTCTGAATCACAGCAGCCTGTGGCAATTTGGATATCAGTTTGTCCCTGGACTGTAGCAGGTCGAAGTGACAGTGCACAGAAACTCACATCGACACCTTTGTGCCAGTCTTGAAATCAGCACCCTGGAAGTTACCGACAAAAAGCCACCATTTACTGTCGTTATGTGCTAGGAACTTTACTCATGTAAACTCATTTATCTCTAACAGCCCTAAGAGGTAGGTATTATTAGATCGTTATTCTTTTCTTAATTTTTATTTATTTTTATTGTTTTTAATTGAGATACAATGAACACATAACGTGTTGTAAGTTTAAAGTGTGTAATGTGTTGACTTGATCTATATATTGCAATATAGATCATTATTCTTATTTACAGAAATGTACATATATGTATTACCTAAAGTCGTGTGACTAATAAGTGGTGAAGCCAGGATTTGAAGACACTTCAGTTTAACTCCAAAGCCATTACTCTTCTTCACTACCGAATTAGGGGGTCAGAGGGGAGATGGGCCTTGAGGGGAGTGAGATGGAGGGAGCAGGGTGCTGTTCAGTTACGAGATCAACCATGTTATCATTCATTGGGCTTTGATTTTGTGCTGGATACTGTGCTAAGTATTTTACATAGACTAATTCATTCAATCTTCATAATAGCCCCCTGGGGGCTATTACTGTTATCCCCACTTTATTGATGTGGAAAGTGGGGCTCAAGGAGGTTATATGATTGGTCTAAGGTGAGCCAGCTAGTTAGTGACAAAGACAAGACTTGAACTCAGCTTGACCAGAGCTCCTAACTACTGGGTCGTCTACCCTAGAGAAGCCTCCACTGGCTCTCCCAGGCCCTGGAGGGGCCCACAGGCAGAGGAAGAGTCCCATCCCCTTCATGGTCAGCCCACTCCCCTCACTATTCCCAGGAGGTCTAGAAGCTACAGCTCCCTGCACCTCTGACAGCCCCACACTGGGGCTGGGGGTAGAGGACTCCAGCTGCAAAGACTCGGCCTCTGGACCCCACACTTCTTGGTTTGCTGGGCTCCGGGCACTGCAAACAGCCAGCCAGGAGGTTCCAGAAGCCATGGCTGAAGCAGGGGCTTCAGGCTCTGGGCTGTAGACCCTGGCACTGAGGACTAGTTCCAAGTTCCCTGCTCTTTTTCTGGCTCCACAGACATCTCTCTGCCCCCACTGAAGGTCATTCTATTGCCTACAAAAAAAAGATGAAGTCTTACCTTTTGCCATAACAAGGATGGATTTTAAGATAATTATGCTAAGTGAAATAAGTCTGAAAGACTAAGACAAATATCAGATGTTTTCATTCATATGAAATAAAGGCACAAAGCAAACAGACTGACAAAACGCAACCACAAACGACTCTTAGGCTGACAAAGAAACAGTGGTTGCCAGAGGGGAAGGGGATGAGAGCTGGAGGAGTGAATGGGTTGAGGGGCTCAGTTTGATAGTGGTAGTCACTAGAACTTTGGTGGTGATTGGGGCATATACCAAGGTGTGAAGTTGTTCTCCTGAAACCTAGCTAAGTACCATCCATAAATCACTCTTACTCGCTCACTCAACTAAAATACCTTCGATTGCCCCCAGTTCTGTGACCCCTGCTGACTTTGCACAACTACCTACTTGTATCCTGTGTTCAGCCTCAAAAAGACTGGAGCCAGAGTTCTGAGACACCACCAGCCCTGCCCCAGGGCAGGAGGATTATGAAACAATGCTTTCTCAGCCTTGCTCTTCTGGTACTTTCCTTTCCTTAACTTGGACCTAATAATAGGAATTACCCAGGTGTCTTAGAAAGCTGACGAATCATCTCTGATAGGACCCCTTTGGTATGTGCACTAAAGGATTTGAGTGGGGATTTGAAACACCCCACTCCCCATCTCTGCAGAAGCCTGTGACAAGGCAGCAGGCTACTGCGTTCGCTGCTACCCTAAAACAGAGGCCAGAGGCTTATGCCTGTTTATCTCATTTTCTCAAAAATCCAAAAATCGTTCCTTTTTAAGTTGACACAGAAATAGTAGATACACAAAAATTTGGAATTCCAATAAAACAAGAGTGTGGAAGTGAGCACTTGTCTCCTTTACTGTCCAACCCCAGGATCCCCTCACCAGATCACTGCTGACAACCTCTGGGGGCCGCTCTCCCCATCTCTGGGCATGTTCTCCCTTTCTTACCTAAAACGGAATCACCCTGTAAACCGTGCTTTAGTGCTCACTGTCTCTTCAGAATATAGCCAGAATGGACTCCTCTGTGAGAACCTTTGTAAGTTGTTTGTATAATTTTTTTTAGTTGTTTGTATAATTTTGAAATTTAAGAGTAAAGAATAAAAAAAGGTCTCCTCCCACCCTCTGCATTAGATATTGTTCTACCACATCGTGTTGAATGGCTGCATGGTATTTATTGTGTAAATGAACCACAATTCTTCTCTTGTGCTGTTTCTGTAACAGGGTGGTCCCCAGGAAAAGGGGACATTTCAGTGGTTTACTCTGATGGGCCAACGTGGCATCTCTGCCCGTATGTCCATGCGCACCTGTGTGCCTCTTTCCACAGACTGAATCCCAGAAGAGGAATGGCAGGTTCACAGGGTGTGCAGCATACAGAGGGCAGACTGCCTTCCTGCTCCCAAAGCTTGTTGGGTTTTCTACTCAACTTCTTCAACATGTCTGAGCCTCATTTTGTCCTCTGGAGAGTGTGAGTTCGGCACTCACCGTCAGCCATCTGTGGGTGCCGGTTGGATTTGCAGCTGCAGAACTGCCGATCCGCAGGAGTGACTCCAAGGGACTTGAGCTTTGGATTTTGGGATCTGAGGGGCGGTTCTGAAACTAATCTCCTTCAGTTAATGAGACAGTTCTAGTTAAGTTTTTGAGAGAGTCCAATGTTATATACGGATTTTTGTCTGTGTGGGGAACCAACACCCTTAATCCCTGCATTGTTCAAGCAACAACCGTGTATGGGAGGCTCTTGGTACCTGGGCCGCTGATAAACCATAGCAATTATTTGGTACCAGGCAGGGCTGTTTCGTCGGTGAGGACAATGCTTGCAGTATTCCTGATGCCCACAGCCACTAAAGGCAGGGACGAGCCTGGCTGTGGCCTTGACTTCTCCTGGTAGCTGTGAGCACCCCGTTTGCTTTCACTAATGCAGGGAATGTCAGCAGAAACAAAGGCAGGCGGAGTTCTTTGTCTCCCTCCCACCTCACAGGAGACAGTGTAGCTTGTGTGGGCATAGGGTGGGGCTAAGGAAGAGCTGGTTTCAGGGGAATGGGCCCAGCTAATTCCAAATCTTTCCTTTTGGACCCTGGACTGCCCCCAGGACAGGACCTTTCTCCCAGAAATGAGGTCTTCAAGACTCTTGTTAAATGAACATTTCTAGAAAGAGGGAAATAGTTGTCTCTCATTCTTGGAACCTAGCAAGGCCCATGGCTGCAGGTGCCTGAGCTCCCAAGAGGGCTGATTACCAGAAAGGACAGCCCACTAGGGCTTCAAACTGGAGCTTGAGATCAGTAGGCCAAGATACTGAGCATGCTCAGTGACGGGACAGATGATCCTTAAAGGGCAACAGAGGACATTTTGCTGAATCTAGCTTTGGAGAAGATGGTCTGTCCCTCCCCCATCCTCCTCTCCAAAGGAAAGATACGAGACAGTGGTTTAGCTGTGCATCTGTTTCCCTTTATTGTGCTTATGTTTACTGTGCTTCTGGTCTTATGGTCTTTGCTGGATATTGCTGCCAACTCATACCCGCCCCACCCCCTGACACCAAACCCTTCCCCAAAGCTAGCTTCTACTGAAGTGCCTGGTAGCAGTTCCAGAAGTGTGTCCACTAAGCAGGCAGTCCTAAATGTGGTGGGCTCTTGAGGCTTAGCAAAGGGCACTGGGAATTCAGCGCATAGTATACTGGTCATACTTGGTCAAGAGAGGCCCCCGCCAACATATATTCTACCTCTTTTTCTGGGCCGGGCGGCTGTATCTCAAAACCTTCAGGAAAGCTCAGTTGAGCAGTAGACTCCTCAGTGTCAAGCTTCACATTGGTTTTGTCTGTAAGGAGTCACTCATGTAGCTGCGCCTGACACCGGAGGGGCTATCTGTCCTGGAGAGCCAGGTTTGGCTAACTGCCTTGCAGGAAGAGTCAGGCCAGGAGTGGTAGCATGCAGAGTATTCATGACCTTATTTTAGGCCCAGGGGGAGTTGCCCCTTGGCCTGAGTTATGTGGGGGTGGTACAGAATGGATGAGGAGGATCCATTTCATTGGGAAATGAGGAACCATTTCATTGGGAATCAGGGGCCTTCTGCTCTCTGAGGTACAGGCCATTGGTACAGGGGGGTGGGGAGTGAGAAGATTCATCAGAGACAGCGGGGAGCAGGACAGGCAGATGTACTGAAATACACCACTGAGGGGAGCAGCAGGTGAGACAGAAGAATTCTGGTGCACCACGTGGGTCACCCCCCTGGCTGGGGATCAAACTCATGCTGCAGTGGCTGCAATAGCTTCATATTGCTATGCTTTAGCCTGTTGCGCCACCAAGGAGGGCCCACCTCCTGCTCTCTTCAGGAAGCTTTTCAATGCCTTGGGTCACAGGTAATAGAAGAGCATACATTTAATGTAGCAGAATGTCAGGGCCTACAAGGCCCTTGACTACCTGTTCCATTTCCCACCAGATCTACCCTCCGATGGGAGCAGGTGCTGATGCAAGTGACATAGTGATTTAGTGGCCAAACTTCCATGACAATGATGGAGAAGGAAAGTGGGGCTAGGTACGCCTGGCTTTCTTCAGCTCTTATTGGGTGGAATTGGGAACCACCCCTGATCACTTAAAAGGGCCCTTTCAAACGGCCAGCTTTAAGTGGCCACCATTTAAAAGAGTCCTTTTACAGGACCAGCTTCCTTAGGCTCTTGGCTTGACTGAAACACTCACTGTCTCCATTTTGAGAGTTGTGTGTGTGACAGTGGAGCTGGTGTGAGTTTGGGAGGCCGTGGTGATGAGGGGCAAGGGCAAGATGGCTCCTGGGTGCCCCGCTCGCTGTGGCTGCACCTGGAGCAGGGCGCCGGGTAGGGCTGTGCTGTCAGTAGCTGGTGGAGGGAGGGGTGAGGCAAATTAATTCTTGCCTCATGCTGCTCCTCATCCACCATGGTCAAGTCTGTAGGACTAGGGGTGCCAGGGGCCCTGGGGGCACAGGGTCAACCTGGCCATCCTGGAGGCTGTTGCTGCCTGGGTGCAGCTGCTGCCACCTCAAGGCGCCCCGGCCAGGGAGAGGCCCTGCAGCTGCTCCTCAGCACTGGCCAGCTCCACCTCCTCACGCCCGCTCTCTGAGCCCTCGAAGCAGCCTGAGTCTCGAGGGATGTCCACCTTGTCTTCTGGTGCTGCCGTGCGCGGCGCTGGTTCCTGGCTGCTCTCTGCGCCCTCGTCTGCCTCCTCACTGCCGGCTGCTGGGGGAGACTGGGCCTTAGTTGGGGTGTGGTTTGGGAGCCCCAAGTTGGGGTGTGTGGAGGCCCTGGGAGGCGCACTGAAACAGTCTTCCCTGCTGCCCCTCACGCCTGCCCTCTCGCCCTCGCATCTCAGAAGCAGGCAGACTGTTCTCCCCACCTGTTGAGCTAGATCTGCGGCCCAGGAGCTCAGACTTCTGCAGCACTAAGCTGGGAGCAGGGAAGCCTGGGCTTGAAGGTGGGGTCTGTTGAAGCCAGCTTTGAGGACTTAGCTTCTCTGGCCTTAAGCCCCTCTTCAGTCCCAAAGGGAGCTGTGCTTGGTCACCCCAAACATCCGCTTCTCCCCATACTTGGCCTGATCTTGAAGTTCAAGTATGGAAAGTGCCTTCCCAGCACATGGGGGCAGGGCTTGGCACGTGCTCAGGCAGGACCAGGGCTGGAATACCAGTAGGCACCTCCTCATCCCCCCTCAGCTCCTGAACCCACTCACTGTCGTAGTCCAGCAGCAGCTCTGCAGCCGTGAGCAGCTTGGCCCGGTGCTGCGGGTCCATGATGTTCAGCTCATTGAGGTGTGTTTCCCGCAGCTCTTTGAAGTCCTCCAGCGTCTGGTAGCCGTTAAGCAGCAAGGTGGACGTGTGTTCCTGTGGGCAGGGGCAGGCCGCCCATGCAGCCTCTTGTGAGCCACTACCCCCCCCGTGTGTCCACCCCCCCCGTGTGTCCACCCCCCCCGTGTGTCCACCCTCCCTGCACAGCTGAGGTGGCCTGGTCCCAGCCCTTGCTCCGAGGCACTGACTGAGGCCCAAGCTCGCACCTCCAGGCCGATGCGCTCCAGCAGCTCGTGCAGCGTCTTGGGTTTGGGCCTCTTGCCCTTGCTCTGTCGGCGGCTGGGGCGGGCAGGCCCCACAGACTCTTCAGGCAGCACATCCACATAGATGAACTTGAAGTAGCCCAGCTTGCCATGGAGCAGGCCCTGCCAAGTGCCTACTGGTGGCTTTTCGACAATCTGGATTACGTCACCTTTCTGTGGGAAGAGAGCAGAGCAGGGCGGAGCGGGGAGAGGGAAGGGCGGTCCTTCAGTCACCACTGACACCGTGCTACGCTGTCTCCGTCCAACCTTCTTCACAGGCACAGCCTGGAAGGCTCAGGAAGACCTGGTTGCCAACCTTACCTGAAGTTTCAGTGAGTCGTGGTCATAGGGGCTCGGAGTGAAGTCGGTGTGGACTCGTGCTCGACCACAGAAGGGTCCTGTGTACGGGGGCACAGGAGGTTCCTCCACGAAGCTGCCAGAACCTGGGCTGGGGCTACAGAGCTCACTGCCTGCGAGGGTGGGAAGGGAAGAGGGTCATCTTTGTCCTAGGACAGCTGGGGGCTGGGGGTCTGGCTGAATGTCCCAAGAATGCAGTCTGTGGGAGAAAGCTGGGCTCCACGTGTCACTTGGCAGAAGGGATTCTGCCCCACCACTTCAGCTACCCAGCAGGAGCAAGGCTTCACCACGGGGCCTCAGGTATGGAAAGAGCGGACCACAGAAGGAGAAATGGCACAAACCGAAGAATGGGCCGACACGCCAATGAATGGGTGAGGAAAATTGAAGCCGGATAGGCCAAGTGAGCTGCCCACGGCCTCTCAGTTTATAGTTGGCAGCACTGGGTGCGTTAGACTCCAGGTCTCCAGGAAGCCACCTTCCATCCATGAAACCACAGTCTGCATTTACTTTCTCTACTTCATAAGACTCAGTGCCTAGTTATAACACCACATGCGAACTCACACAGACTCTTTCTCTCTGGGATGGGCAGGAGGAAAGGCATTTTAAATAGCTTTCAGTGGAGGGCAGGGAGATGTCTGTGGAGCCAGAGAAAGAGCAGGGAACTTGGAACTAGTCCTCAGTGCCAGGGTCTACAGCCCAGAGCCTGAAGCCCCTGCTTCAGCCATGGCTTCTGGAACCTCCTGGCTGGCTGTCATGGACATCTAGAAGATGCCAGCAGTGCCCGGAGCCCAGCAAACCAAGAAGTGTGGGGTCCAGAGGCCGAGTCTTCGCAGCTGGAGTCCTCTACCCCCAGCCCCAGTGTGGGGCTGTCAGAGGTGCAGGGAGCTGTAGCTTCTAGACCTCCTGGGAATAGTGAGGGGAGTGGGCTGACCATGAAGGGGATGGGACTCTTCCTCTGCCTGTGGGCCCCTCCAGGGCCTGGGAGAGCCAGTGGAGGCTTCTCTAGGGAAGACTCAAATTCAAGACTGGATCACCTCGAGCAAGTCAATGACTATCCTGCGCCTTAGTTTCCACGCCAATAAAGTGGAGCTAATACTCGTACTGACCCAAGTCATTTTGGTGAAGATTTAATCCAGAGAGGGCTGGGACAGTTCTCAGCAGGTACAGACTAAAGGCTCATTCTCTTACCTCCCCACTCCCAGACACCAGCAGCCTGGCCCTGCTCCGGTCTTCTTCTCTTGACTCAGCAGACATCTCCCTACTTCCTCAACTCACCTGTGGAAGCCTGGCGGCTGAGTGTTGGGAGTTCACGCTCCTCCTGCTCAGAAAAGGCCAGTGCCATCTTCTCAGGGCCAGGGCTGTCCAGGCTGCCATCTGGAGATGTCGGGGAGGGTGTGCCCTCCTCCAGAGTGTCTCCCTGTAGGGGAGGGGAGGCAGGAAGCCTTGAGCAGCCTCGGCTGGGGTGTACTTGGGGCAGCCTTGGATGCCAAGGAGGAAATAAGTGGGCCTGGGCATGGTAGAGAACTGGGGCCTGGCTTGAGCCCAGCTCCGTCACTTGGGCTGCATGCATACGCTGAGTCTTGTTTCCCTGCCTTCAAAATGATTGTGGCAGTCCTTGCCCCCCCCCCCCATTTCACGGCATGCGGCTCAACAGGTGAGGTGCTTTGTCAGCTTAAAGTGCTGAAGTGAAGTCCCTGCAGAAGAGGCCCTTGTGCTCCAGCTGGATTCCAAATGGTGGTGAGGGCACCGTCAGGCAGACAGTGGCACTGGACAGGACTTACTGTTGACGTTGCTGCTACTGGCCGGGTCGGCCAGGCATTCCTGTCATTACATTTAATCCTCAGTGACACTTGAATGCCACTTAAATGATACAATCCTCCCAAGCTCCTAGATGAGAAGAGATGGTGGAACACTGCCAAGCACCTGATACCAGAGCTCTTCCATGTCACCACACCTCAGCCTGGTGGTAACCGTTCATGACTGGATCGCTGGGAATAAAGGCCCTGATGTGTAGCGTTGCCAATTCCTGTGTTGTAATCACTTCCCACCCTAACCAATGTCAAGCTATTGAAGGATAGAATTCCCCAAGTTGTCTTGGAATGGGCCTTTCCAAGACATGTCACTTTGGTTCATTGCAAGTGAATGATTCTGAGCTGAGTTCAAGCCAGACTCTGGTCTCAAGAGAAGCTTTTACCAGATCCTTAACTACCTAGAAGAATGAAAATTGGGGCTAGTACTCAGGTTCAGGGAAAACTCTACAAATAGCCTTTCTATCAGGGAAACCTATCTATCTGGCAGGCCAACCATCTATTATAGAGCATCTGGTCCTTTCTACAAGCCCATCTCCCACCTCTTACCCTCATTTGAACCTTATTTACTCTGGAATTTATATCCATGTCGATTCTCCATATGTATGCAATTATGTTTGGTTTTTTATCCTCCTAATTTGTTTGATGTCAATTTGATTCTTTGACTAGTCAAAAAAACTCATAGAAATAGGGGGAAATTTCTTGTCTGCCCTATGCATCACCATGAGTAACTCCCCCTCCCCACAGATACTGCAGGTGTGAACAGCCTTGAGGACACAGAACAATGGCATGAGGTACAAGTATCCCGAAGAAATGCTTTTAGAAGGTTGACTGTAGTCACCTTATTTTAAATAACTTTACTTAATTCTAAATTTATACAACTTCATTTTCAATAATGGTTGTGTTCCACATGGGGAGCACAAAATCCCTGAGAACTTTACTGATGCCTGCTCTGAACAGGTGTCATCGATGATACCAGGACATGGAACCTTCTGTAAGAGCCATGAGCCTTCAGACTACCTATGTGAATCTGTAACAGTGTAATCTAAAAACAATGATTCTAAAACCAATTCTAAAAGCAGAGGTTCCGTGTTTCCTGCCTCACCCAAGGAAGGGAGCTGAGGATCGAGAGGAAGCTAAAACTGACTTGGGAAAGAAGACTGGGAAGAGAAGCCTGGAGGAGGTACATGGAGCAGAGAGACATGTGAAGAGGAAACTGAGTTTGCTTCTTGGCCATGGACTTGTACCAGAAACTTGGGAGAAAATGGAAGGAGATACTTGAAAGAGATGTGGGTGAGAGACCAGTGGGGAAAGTGACAATGGCAGCCTTTATCTTGGCCTTTTTCCTATGAGTCCCCACCAGGAGGTGTCTTAGACTTATGGCAAGCTCTTGGGCCTCCATGATCCTGCTTTGGGCCAACTTACTTGGCTGGGCATTTATCCACAGGGCGTGGATAACTTTGGGTGCTTCATTTGGAAACTATGTTCTTTCTCCTCTTTCTATTGGACACTAATTCTATCCAAGTTCTTTTTTAATGGCGGCCTTACACAATATGAGTATGTTTGTTTTCCATGCAGCTGATGGCAGAACCTACTTAGAATATGCCTGTTTGGGGAGTCCGTCAATCTGCCCATTAACAGCTCCAGTTATTTGGATGTGCCTATCCATAGCTACCTGTCCCCCCAACCACCCCTGGGCCGAAGTCGTCCTTCTCTACGTCCTCACACTGGGAACCTCTTCCAGTCAAACCTTCCCAATCTACAGCCCAGTTCCAAACAAAAAGTCAAGGTAGATGAATTTGCCTCTGGCCGTCTCATCTTTAGGTTAGCTGTCCCTCTTCTCAGACCTGCAAGAAACTTTTCTTACTCCTCCAACCCCACCCCTGCTCTCTCAGGAACTTTCTTGGGCTGAAAGGGAGCACCTCCCCCACATGACCTTACTTTCGGTATCCAGGGTGCCTGCAAGCATGGCACTTAAGCAGAGGCCTTTAAGTGGCCATGCTCACACCTTTCCCTCCATCGGACACCCAGGACTCACCATCTCCTCTGACAGGGCCTTCACCATCATCTTGCCCATTTTCCTGTTCATGGTTCGGGAAATCACAGCTCTCCACTTCTTCCCCAGCTTTTTGCCACTTTTCCCAGCATCCTCTGGGATAGGGACACCTGAGTCATCTTCTGGAATCTGTGACAACAAAGGAGGGACGTTCAGGGACTCTGGTGACACTGCCTAAGTCCAGAGTGTGGAGGCAGATGGTGGAGGGCTGGGCATGAGTGGCCTCCAGCCCAGTGCCCCTGAGCCCCGGCACCACCCTCAGTCCTACTCATTGGTGTATAGTTAATTTGACATTTAATCTGTAACAGGAAAGGGATGCTTGCGAGTTCTTGGAACCCGGAATTTTGGTGGGTGGGAGATGTGAGCCTTTTGTATTTAAGGCAGGCTTTGTCGAAATCCTCCTCAAATCCCCCCTTTTTCCTTCCTCCCTTCCTCCACCCCACTCCCCCACCCAGGGCTGGCAGCCAGATCCCCCAAGGAGACTCTGAAACTCACATTATCATCCAGATTAAATTCCTTCTCGCTCACCACGGGGGAGCTGGGCTTGGATTTGGCAAAATCCTTAAAGCTGCTGGAGCGCTGAAGTGAGAGCTGGAAGAAGCAATCAGTGACTAGTAAGGAGCTGTTCCTGCTCCCCACACAGGCTCTGAAGACCCCAGAGCTGGGCAGAGCCACATGGGCCCTGAGGGCCCAAGGCTAATGAGGTGAAGCCAAGATGTGGTGGGGGAGAAAATTCATCTCCTTGGCAAAAGGATTACTTTGGGCTGATTATTTTAAAGAAACAGCAGACTTGACTCAAGAAGTTTTTCTTTCCCTTTCCCTTAACTGCTATAAGGATTTTGATGGGGAGGGGGGCTATTCCAGGAAGGGAGTATCACCAGTGAGAACTAAAAGCATATGAGCTAAATGGGATAGACCGGGGGAAATTAGCAAGGCCGGTTTTTTGGAAGTCCTCTGTGTCCCTTTGCCTCTGCCTAGCATGGCAAACATTAGTTTACCAAATATTTGTTTTTCTATCTTCCTGAGAATTGGGCTCCTCCCCATTGAAGTCTCAGTCCCTGAGACCCTTGTCCCTAGCTCAGGATGGCATATAAGCCTCATTTGCCTGACTGTCAAGAACTTCATGTGTTTGTATGTACCTAATTCACTTGAATTTCTCCTGTTAATCTGCCTTAAGTCAGTTTAATTATTAAGTCAACCAAAAGAAATGGGAGGGTAGAAGGAACATTTTAGCCCCCCTACAATATCCTGAGGGCTACATGATTTCATTCTGTTTTACAGGTGAGAGTGACCTAGTGACCTCTGTGTCTGGCCACAGAGCAAGCTCCCCATGTCCAGAGCCTTGGGCCCGAGTCACATTTTCACTAGTCCCTGAAGGTTGGTCCCAGACTCCTGAGTAAAAGACTAAATGCATAGAAGCAAACGCATATCTCCTGTGAGAACGTAGGTCGGCACGCACAAGACCTCGGCACATGCAGTAACATTAGCTTCATGACAGAGCAACCCATAGTTTCCCCTGCTGCTCTGCTCTGGCTTCCATGCTCTGGGTCTGCTCCAAGCGTGGTCTCCAGTCATGGTGATGGCGGTAAACATATTGGGGGGGCCTCTCGTTTGATGAATCTGTGTCCCAAGAAGAGCAAGCTGGTCCCCCCGCCCCCAGAAGCCAGTGAGCCCTGGCATTATGCTTTCTGAAAAGCTACAGTAGAGACTTAGTCAGTGACGGTACTCACAGATTTTTGGACCCACTTAACTGGGGTTAATTTAATAAAGAGAAAGCTGCCCTTTTTTTTTTCTTTTTCTTTCTTTCTTCTTTTTTTTTTTTTTTTCTTTTTCGATCAGCGCTTGTCACCTTGACCGCTGACACAATGAGCTGGATGTGGTTGAGCTGTGCCTACATTTGAACTTTTAGGCCTGACCTATGGTTTGTGTTGATGTCACTGCTTTCAGAAAATGATCTTTCTTAACTGTATAGGGCTGCAAGGCCAAGAGAGCAGCCAGAACCTAGGGCCAGGCAGATAAGGAGGGCAGGATTTAGGCACCAGAAGTGGAGCAGAGCCTGACTGAAGACTGAGTCAAGGCCAAAGAAACACACAGGAACCAGGGTTCACAGATGGCTAGAATGATAGCAGGGGATAGACTGCAGACACTAGAGATAAGGCCTGGAGGAACCAGAGCCCCATCTGGCACATAGCTGAAAGTTTCACATCCTCTTTCCTATGAAAAGGGGGTCCAGGGACAGGCCCCCCACCCCCTCAGGGCAGGGGCAATATTACCACCTCTCCCAATACACACACAATTGTCTCCAGCTCCGGGGGACACAAATGGGGTGCCTTGGTTTTCTCTGACTCTACCACCAAGAGGGCTTCTTGGATGGGGCACCTACAGCCTCAGAAAGTTTCTTCTGTGCTACAGGCAAAGGCCTCCCCCACCACCCCAGTGGGTGTAGGGAGGGGAACGCATGGCTGCGTAGGGTGGCCATTGCAGTTCCCATGCATCTCCTCTATCCTCCCTCGTTGGTCTTCCCCACCCACGATTCTTTCCTCTTTTTCTCCCTTTCTTTCCCCATTCCCTCCTCCACCTTGTGTTTATTTCCTCCTCTTGTATGGCTAGGATGCAGCTGCCTGGATAACTTCCTCCTCTTATTGCCTGGAAAAGAGGGAACAGAGAGAGGGTGGGCACCAGGCTGGCCCAGGCCCAAAGTGGGCAGGCTGGCCTGCTATTTATAGGCTGATGAGGCCTTCTGTGGCCTTCCCTCCACCAAGTCTCAGTCTGGTTACAGACGGGGAGGTTGAGAGTTGTGCCTGAAGCCTCAGGGAAAGGCCACCCTGGAAAGTAAATTGGAGGGCTGGTGTGGGTCTGGAAGCGGCCTTTGTTCTGGAAGAGTAAACTCATGGCCATGCTGCTTCTAACCACCCCTCCTTCCAGGGACATTTTCCAGTCATTAGGTGCTGCTGGGGGCTGGGCTCTTTCATTCTTGGGGCCCTATGTCAGGGACCCTCTGTCCCAGCTTTATTCCAAAGCAGGGGGAAATGACCCAAAAGGACTGTGGAGGTGGTACTGTGTCTTGGGCCCAGCTGGCTGCTCCTCAGCCCAGGGACATGAAAGGGGCAGCCCCACATGTCCTGAATGACTTTCAGTGACCCCCTTCACCAGATATGAGTTAAAATCCTTTGGATTTTCTGCCTGACCTCCTTTTGGCCTGAGGCCCTGCCTCCTCGTGGGGGGTAGTGCCTTACATGCTTGGCCCTTTTACCTGTCTAAGGAGAGCATGTGGGTCTCTTGCAAAGAGCTGCTCTTCCGGCGGGACAGAAATTGTGAAGTTCCATTCTGAGATGAGGGGCCTTCTGCAAACTCATTAACTGGAATCTCAGTCTCTTGACTTGGTGTCAACCGGCAAGGGCTCACACCTTCGGTCTGCCCTTGGCCAGCTGTGTCAAGCTGGGAAATTTTTTCAACTATTCTGGGCATAGTTTTTCTTTTTTCCCCTCGGGGTAAAGCTGAAGACCAGGGCACCTCCTTCACTAGGTTGAGTGAGGCTGAAAGGAATGAGTACCACACACAGCAGTCCCTCAGGGAATGTCCGTGTGGTTTAGCCTCTCCGATGACCTACCTCCAGATGCAGTCAGAGCATTCTCTGCCTGAAATATTCAGTCATTCTGTCAATGATAGAATGACTGAATATTCCCCCCCCTTTTTCAAAAATGCAGCTTCACTGGAAACAACCCACTAAGGCTGAGATGATATGTACATTGTAGCAGAGTCATGGCCATAGTAATAGCAAGGAGGACAGGACAGCTTTCCCCGCCAAATCTGGATGATGTGCACAGATCCACTGTTGTGAAGAGAACAGCCACTGAAAAGTATACTACAGTTGACCCTTGAACAACACCGGTTTACATTGCAAGGGTCCACTTACATAATTTTCTTATAAACCACTAAACTAATGGTATTGATAAATACAATATAGTACTATAACAGCATTATGATTTTCTTAATAATGTTTTCTTTTCTCTGGCTTACTTTATTGTAGGAACACAAAATATAATATATACAACTTACAAGAGATGTGTTACTTGATGGTTTATATTATCAGTGAGGTTTCTGGTCAACAGCAGGCTACTAGTAGTTAAATTTGGGGGGTCAAATTTTACATGTGCGTTTTTGACTGCGCAGGGTGTTGGTGGCATCCTAATCCCTGAATATAAATTCCTTGCATAGAAAAGTTCAAAGCCCAGCAAAACTGATCTAGGTAGTTGGAAGGCAGCATATGAGGTGGTAAGAAACCCTCCAGGACGGTGGGGTTAGGACCTACTATGCATCCTGAAGGATTGGGGAGGCCCCTGAGTCGGGGGTTGTTTACCCTTCAGTTTTGGGAGCTTATAGTGACTGGCATGCCATGAAAGGAGCTTCTGGAGTTTTCAAAGTGCTTTGATACTCCATGTGGGCACTGCCTACATCGGAAATTCGTTAAGTGGTATACTGATGACTTATCACTTACTACAGTCATTATACTAAAAAACAGGCTTTCCAGTCCAGTTTCAGAGGTGCCACCCACTGCAGAAAGCCTCCCCTGGTGACTTGCTCAGAGCGTCACATCTCACATCGTTTGGCTTCTGTTTTTCCTGTGTCTAAGCAAGCTCAGCTTTCCTCAGGGCTCTCTCCAGCTACCCTCTCATCTCCCCCTCCAAGCCTGCTGCTGAGTGGCCTGTCTGTCCCAGACACGCACTCACCATGACGGTGTGGGAATTTAGTAGCTAGTAGCCCCTCCCTGTGCCTACTACCCCGTCAAGGACTCGGTGTGTGCCAGCTCTCTCCAGCCTCAGCACAGCCTCCTCTTACATTCCCCCTCCTGGTCGAGGAGACTGAGACTTGGGAAATGAAGAGTCCTAGGTAGAGTCACAGCTGGCTGTGGGAAGAGCCAGGGTTGAAGCCAGGACTGTGACTGGAAACCTGTGCACATTGCTGCATTTGGAGCTCAGATAGTTGCCCGCCCCCGTGGCCCAGTGTACAAGTGGGCTGAGTGCCATGTCTGCTCTGGGTGGTACTTGGAGGGAGTTCTCGCGAGAGCAGGTGAAAGTATGGAGGAGGAAGGGCTGAGGAGGGCTTCATGGAGGAGGAGGCACATGTGAGCTGGGACCATGGAGGGAAGGCATTTTTTCTCTAGGTGCAGCTGAGAGGCGTTTTAACAAGAACAAGAAACTCGGGATGTTCTGGACATGGTGATGGAATGGTGGGTAGGTATGCCTGTGCTTCCCTGGGAAGGGGAGCAGAAGACGCCATGCAAGGCCCTTGCCAGCCATGCCAAAGGAGTCAGGTGCTAGCCTGTGGGCAGGAGCCACTGGAAATATACACTAAGAGTACACGCTGGTGGGGGTGTCACACAAGAGGTGTTCTGTAAGAAAGGGGGCCAGGGGAACTAGAGAAATGGGGAGACAGGGGCAGGGAGAGGCTGGGGAAGGAAGAGTTGAACATTTGAATGGGAGTTTAGATTCCTTCGCACTTCCACTGGCAGGAGGTCTGAGGTGTGGGGTGGGGGGCAGGGGTAGGAGCTTTCTTTGGGGAGTGAGGTCCCAGCGCAAACCCCTTTCTACTGCCTATACCCCAAGAGGTCAGAGAGAGGCCCTAAAAGAGGCAAAGGTCCTCAGGGGCAGCTGAGGGGTATGTTCCCCACCCCCAGCCTTTGTGATACATAGTAGGTGCCAATCCTGTGGGATGTATTTGCTGTCCTGGTATGTGCCCGACCGTCCTGGAGATCCTGTCCCCTCTCACTCCGATGCCTGCAGGTCACTTTTCTACAGCAGTCTAAAAATCCTTTCTGCTCATCAGATTCTTGGAGAACTTTTGAGATCAATGGGGAACAAGAGTGGGGGGTGGGTTAAGACTCTGGAGACTGACATCTTAGCTTTGATCCCTGAACACCTTGCAGCTTTAAAGTTGTATCACCTTGGGTGAGTCACTTCACCTCCCTGAGTCTCAGACATAAAACTAGGGAGAAAGACAGTCTCTGCCCCCTACTTCCCAGGCTATCTTGAGGAGTCAGTGGGCTAAGAGGTGGGTAAAGTTCACAGTAGAGTACCTGGCACCTGAGAACTCCTCTCTGCATGCTGGCTCTGAGAGCTTAAAATCACGTGTCCTCTGCTTCAGAACTATGTGCCACCTCTGTGCGCACATGCATGCAGGGGACAGAACACTCCCCTTTACCAGTTCAGGTTACTTGTACAACCTCCTGAGGTGCACAGATGGGAAACTGAGGCCCAAAGGAGGCCAATGAATTGTCTGAGTAGCTGTTGCTAGAACCTGGTAAGATTCCAACTCTGTTTTCTTGGCCCTGCCCAGCACCTGTTCTGTTTGGCAAGCCTGGGAGGAAGAGCAGGGCCTGAGACAGAGGCCTCTCTTGCCGTTGTGCTTTCCCCTCCACCATGTCAACTTGGCATCCTGGACTCGTCCAAGGCCACTCTACAAGCGGTACTGGAGCTGAGGATGGGGGAGAGGGTAGTTCTGGATGCTTGGGTCTTCCAAGAGTGCTTTCGGGGGTGGGGCTTTGGAGAGTGGTCTGGACGTGGAGCCGGCTCAAGCGCAGGGGTTGGCCTGGCTGTCCTCCTTCAGAGCACACAGAACCTGGAGTGCCACGTGGACTTTGCTTCTTCTCTGAGAGGTCGGGGGGACCCTATGGGCCCTTCCACCAAACACAGAATCTGGGTAATGGATGTTGGGAAAGATGCCAGGACTTCTGGCTGCTGTGTGACCCTGGACACCCTGAGTGGCACAGGGTCCAGGTGTCAAAGTGTCAGCTCTTTCTCAGACTCTTTCCTCTGGCTCAGCTCCCCTGTGGTTTGGGGCCCAGCAGCATCTAGATCAGTCTCTGCTTCCCACCCTTAGCAGCTGGAGAACAAGGGGGAAGTAGACCTGTTCTCAGAGGACTGGCAGCCAGTGGTGGGTTGAGTGGGCCTAGCACAGGGCAGGAATTGGAAGAAGGCCACAGAGGCTGTGTGGACACTCATGAATCTCTCCCCTCACTGGGCCCAGCTCCACTGCAACCTTAGAGAAGCAGCTGGGGTTGGGGAGAGGAGAGCCGGAAGTTGCAGCCACCCCGGACCCTGAGATGGGGCAGGATACACACCCCAGTGCCCTGAGGCTTGGCATCTCAGCTGGCTCAGCCTCTGCCTGGGAGCTGTTTCTCCAACAAGCCTCTCCCTCCCCCCACTAGGCACCTGGGCCGAGTTCGAGAGGAACCGGGTAGGATACAGAGAGGGCCTAGGCTTTGTGCCTCTCTGTTCAGGCCTACTTTGGGCAGTTTTAAGACCCTGCTGGAGGTGTGGTATGTATTTGCTGAATCCCTGAATCCCCATTATCAAAGCAAATACTTAGTCAAGATATCCTCAGATCCATCCAAAGAAATCTGGATCTGACGGAGCCTTCAGTGTCTTCTAGTTCCGTCTATGCTCCAGGAAGATGAACACCTTGGTTGTCTATGACTGCTGCCTTGCTTCTTGGTCTTTGATATCCCCCCACGGACTTTTCTCCTCCTCAGCCCTCACTCTTATTTTGCATCTCACAGCTTCATTTCTCATTCTTCACAAATAATTTCTCCCCACCTGGGAGGAGTCTGTATGCCCTCTGTATCCTACTGCAGACTTCCAGGCCCTTCCTTGGGTCTGGAAATCACCTCAGGCCCCATGTTCAGGTCGGCCCCAAGTTCTGTGGGCCTGAGGAGCAGCAACAGAGGGGAACCAAGTGGGCAGAGCCAGGCCCGTGGCCAGTTTTTGGGGCTTGGGAGCAGCGGGGCTCTGAACTGGGCAGCGTTAGGGGCCCTTTGGGTGCGAGAGCTCCTGAGAGGCCATCCTTGGGCAGAGGGCCAGCAGGACCAGTGTAAGAGAGAGAGAATAAGTCAATCGTAGGCTTCCACTCCAGAATCATATTTTTTGGTTCTCAAATGCTGACTTAGGGTTCCCTTCACTTTAGGTTTCTATCCCTCTGTTGTTGGGTTAAGTTCTCTCACACTAGACTTCCGAGCGTTTATGCCGTAACTTGGTTTCTCTAGAATCGGAAACATCCTTCCTGTATTTCTGTTACTTTCTACCCTTTGGACCACCCCCCCCACCCCAATGCCCTTCTGGCCCTCACAGCTCTGGCTCAGCTCAGACTTGGACTGGCTCCACTGACTCCACATCTGGCTTTGGACTGTCCCCACTCCTCAGAGTCTTGGAGCGGATGGGTGAGCGAGCAGAAGAAAGGAAGGAGTGAGTTCCCAGACATGCTCCTCACCTTTTTCTTCTGAGTGGGCTCCTTCTCACTGGCATTGGAGGGCTTGCGGCGCAGCATGGTCCTCTACCTTTGTGACAGTCCGTCCCTGCTTCCCTGTGCGTCAAGGTACAGCGTCCTCTTGCTCAGCCCCACTAGCACCGTCCCGGGGGCACGGCATGGAATGAATTGCCGGCTGCCACTCTGCTGCTGTGGCAGCTTGGGGTGCGGGCCATGAACACCCTGAGGTGGCGGAAGCCCTGACACGTGACTCGTTCTTACAGCAATCGCAGCCCCTGGCGGTGGCCCCTAGGGAGGAAGGAAGTCCCGGCTTCAGTCTCCAGAGATTCTAATGCAGACGGCTCTTGGGTTGAACAAACAGAGAAAAGTCCCTACCCCCGCCATGTCATGTCAGTCGTCTCTATCCTGTTCCTCTTCTGGGAGATGGCCAGTCAACCTGACCAAAGGGGCTACTGGGGACCTTTATCTCACTGACCACAATCCAGAAACCAGAAGTTAGGCCATCTCTTGGCCTGTTGGGCCAGTGCTCTTGGTCACTTTGCATCAATTGCGTCATCACTGACATCACCCCATGACCGACACTCCCTTCGACAGCCAGCACCTTGCAGCCAGGACCCTGCAGCCATCCTCACTGTCATCAGGCTCTCTACAGTCCCACAATTGGCGTTACCCTGCCATCATCATTGCCACTATGCCCTGACCGCCATCTTCCTCACAGCTGTCACCTTTGTGGACATTACCACCAGTCAACCCCATAACACTCTTGATCTTACAATTCTACATTACTCGCTCCCACAACTATCACCACATCCAGGCAGTCAAGATCACACAGTCTTTGTCACCACATCCTTCAGGCAGCCCCACCCCCATCAGCTCCATGATAGTCATCATTGCTAGAACAACAAAGGACCTGGACAGCCATGGCCCTCAGCCATCTGCCTTCATTTGCCTCTCCAATGCCACTGCTCCCTGAACGGCCATCATCATCACAGCCACTTAACATCCAGTCCTCTCCACTGGTACCCTCACCCTCACAACCGTCACACTAGAGCCACCAGTTCCACAGCCACTGCCCTACAGCTTTCAGATGCACCGCCGCCTGCACACCTACAGCCATCCCCACAGAGCGTTTGCCTCCAGAGTCGACACCCCTTCGCCATCTCTGCTGTCACCACATGAGCGAAGCGCATGCCTGCAGCCCCGCAGCACCAGCGACCGTCCTCCTCCACAGGATGACGGTTGAGCTTGTGCTCAACATGCTAACTGGAGAAGTCCCCTTAGTGGCTTATCTGTGGCAGATACTTTAATAACTAATGACTTGTTGGGAAGGCAATGCGTAGCCATCACCTACAATGCAGCAAGAACACCTAAACAAGAAGGGAAAGCAAAAATTCTTTTTAATTGTCTTCCATATGATTTGGATGAATATCCAGTTCTGTTTTTCAGTTTTGCATCTACCTCTTTTTCGAGATACATTACCAAAAATCATATGCACGAAAGCAGATCAGTGATTTGGGGAAGGAGGGGGAGTGGTAGGGAAAGGCAGAACAAAGACGCTTTTGGTGGCATGGTCTTGATTGTGGTGATGGTTTTGTGGCAGTCTATGTATGTCAAAACATAAATTGTGCACTTTAAACATGTGCAGCTTATTGTAGGTCAATCATACCTAAATAAAGCTGTTTAACACTAAAAATATAAACAGTCACATTTCACCAACTGTCAGTATCTGCTTTGACTCTGAACACAGGGTGGTTAAGATTGTCTCATGCCACGAACTAGTCCTCAACTAAGTGGCTGATGGCTGCTGACCTCCGTCATATGCAGTCGCAAGACCTTGGGTTGGCTGAATTCGTTTGCTTGTTGTTGAACATCCCTAAGGGAAACATTCATATCCATGAGAGTTTTCCCCTTAGGATGGCGTTCCAGAAGGGGACTGTTGGGGGTAAAAGGTATGCAACCTTTTAGGCTTTCCATTTAGGGGCACTTGTGAAGCCCTGGGCTGGGACTCCCCTCTTCTTAAGACGCTCTAGTGGCTTCCTGCATCTTCCACCATACATCCTTGGGGGGAGCTGGGGAAAGAACAAGGTCCTTTTCCTCCCAGTGAAACCATGTTGTTTTGACTCAGTCCTACTCAGCCTGCCAGTTGAAATCACCAGAAGCTTTCACACCCGCAGCTCACTTACCAGGGATTGTGTGTGTGTGAGGGGAGTGGTAGCACCCTCCTCCGTCACCCAAGGGGTGTATGCTCAGTGCCTGGGAAAGAGCTTGGCATCTGTGGGGGACCAGTGGGCATTTGGTGCCCTGCACACCTCACCAGGGCCAGGAGGGGACTGCTGTGGGGTTACTGGGTGGAGGATGGGGCTGGGGGTTGGGGGAGGGGCTCGGGCTACCTGGTGCTCTGGCAGCCAGAGACCTGGGAGGGAGCCCAAGAAGCCTTCTGGGTCTGAGCCAGTTAGGCACGGATGTATGGCTTCCTGTTTGCTCAGCCCCGCAGCAAGCCAAACTCTCACACTAACCGCATCTTCAAAGGCATTCAACAAAATGGGGCGCTGGGAGGCCTCCTAGCCCAGGGCTGGGAATGGGGGCCTCAGTGAAAAGTAGAAGTGAGCAGCACCCAGGACAAGGAGGGCAGCATTCTCAGCCCTGTCCTTCTGGCTCCCCTTCAGCCCTGTCTCTTCTGTTGGGCATTCCCCCTCTCCTCCAGGGTCCAGGGCTCCCCTGTGGAGTGGTTCTCCCCCTGCGGAGAAGCTAGCTCCCAGTTTTTCTCTCCCTGCAGATTACCCTGGCCAGAGTTCTATGACCAACGGGTCCTAAACACTTTAAAATAAGTTTCTCTTCCCGTTCTGGGCAACACAGTTCCATTTTGCAGGTTCTTTTAGAGGTAAACAGCGTCCTTACAGAAGAAGTGACCCAGGGCAGTGGGTAAAGGAGGCCACCTCAAGCCTCATAAGAGGGCTGGCAGACAGGACCTCGGAGCTCGCTCTGGACAGTGTCTTGTGCTCTGCACTTTGAGGAGAAGTGAAAAGTAACTATCAAGTCCTGTGTATCTGGGGTCTTAGCCTCCAGCCTCACTGGGTGGCACGCTTTGCCCAGCACTTGTTCTTTGCCAAGCACTACATTAGCACTTAGCTAACGTTACTTTACCACGAGCCTCCGAGATAAGTAGCTTAAATTGGAATTAGTATCGTAAGGTTGTGCCCGGTATAAAATTCAGGGTAGGAGAGCCTTGCTCTTAACAGCAACATTTTGGAAGAGTGTGTATGTGTGTGTGTGTGTGTGTGTGTGTGTGTGTGTGTGTGTGTGTTGTGTATTCTGCTGATCACGAAATCTGTTTTACTCCTCAGAGGGCAGACACAAAAGTCAATGTTGACTGCATTTACATAGAGCAGCCCCCCCCCCCGCACCCCCTCTGAAGAGATTCTAATTTGAGAGATGATTGTGGGTGTGATATTTGGGCAGGTGAGACCCAGATATGTGTGAAAGTGTTCCTCACTCTCAGAATGGGTCCAATACTGACCTGCGACGGTAAGATTTTGGATAGCAAGGGGTATCTTTATTTGAAAAAACTTCCCAAATGATTTTTTCTTTCCTGCAGAGAGCTAAAAAGGGTCATTCACATAGGGAGTAAGGAGAAGAACAAGTGTTTCTTATTCTCACTTCTCCCTGCCACACTTGGAGTCCAGTTGAAAACAAGCGCTCTACAAGCGGGCTTTATAAAAGCTCTGACGCAGGTGCCATAATCCTCATTTTTCATGGAGGAAGTGGAGGCTCAGAGGGTTTCCACAGACTGTGCTAGACTAGGGCTAGCTAGGAAGAGGCAGTAGAGTTTTAAATATAATCTGGTCTTGGTCCAGGGCCCTGTTAGTAGCCACACAGCTGAAGTCCTGCTGAAGCAGAGACCCTGAAGGAGGAGATGCGAGAACGGGCTCCTTTTGCTGACTTTGGAGGCCAGTTGGGATGAGGCCGGTCCTGGAAGTCACCTCACATGCACAAATGGCTGGATAGCAAGGGCAGATATGTGGGGAGCCTAGGGGCACCCGTGTCGAGCTTGTCAACACCTGTGGTGTTTGGCCTGGAGGCTCAGAGTAGGGAAGCAAGGTGACTTTAAACAACTGCCCTGAAGAAGAGCAGACGGGTTCCGGGTGACCGAGAAGGAGGAGAGGCAGATAAATGGAAGGCTTGAGTTATTTCCAAGGAAGATATTTTCGATCTTCAGGTGGTACTTGTTCAGCCCTGGTAAGTAGTGAGCTTCCTGTCTCTAGAAATGATCAAGTAGAGGCCAGATAGTCCCTTGGAAACACCTGGGCATTTCCAAAGTAAAGTCCACTTTCGTAGCCCGACCTGCTTTGCAGATTTCATGATGGTAGTCTCAGGCAGGGAGGGTGAGAAGGGCGACAGGGAGGGAGAGGAGCTGCTGGGTGCTGGCAGGGTGCACAGAACTGGCAGCTCTGGGTATACGGGAGCCCTCGCCAACAGGGGCTGATGGGAAAGAGAGACAGTCATCTCTGAATGTGGGAACTGGGAACTCGTGACAAGGTCTGGTTTAAAAACAAACACCTGCAGGCAGCTGTGGCAATTACCAGAAGAGGAGGCGGGGCTTCGATGTTCACCCATAAGTCCTCATGGAAGGCCTTTCTTTTCTTTGTAAAAAACCCTTTCTTTACTTTTATTGAGGTAACACTGCTTGACAACACTTGCATGCTTTATGAGTAGAAGTTCACACCTCTTCAGATACCTGTTATTTGTGGGACATATGAGGGACTGGGCTGCTCTGCTGAGGACTCTGTCCCAAGGTCACAGGACAAAGGTCGCTGAGCAGTCTGCTGGAGCAGGAGAACCTCCCAGCAATGGAATCAGGCAGAAGCGATTTCAAACCACCACATAGGTCGCCTACTGGCCACACGACCATGGGCATGTCCCTGGGACAATGAGCGCTTCTGAAGACAGTCATGGATGGGTGGGGGAGGTGCGAGTGCATGTGAAGTAGCCAGAGTTCCCTAGATGACACAGAGCGCCTCTCCACCCAGTGCTCTTTGTGGCTCCAGCTGGGGACACGCCCTCAGTTCACTGAAGCGTCCACCTGGAGTTTCTCCTCTTGCCCTGGCAGTTGCTGCTATGTCCCATCCGGGCCCTGACTGAATCTCTACACAGTGACCCTGTGGCTCACATCTTGGGTGTTTCCATCTTGTCAAGGGCAGGGTCTCTCCATCCAAGCTATTCTAGAACACAGAAGAGGTGACACGCCAGGGGATGTATAACTACTGGGGACCTGCTGGGAGGGAAATCAGTTTCCATGGCCTTGCCAGGGACCCCTGGGGCTTTCTCAACCACACATTCTACATTCTACTGCGCTGGAGCTGCTTGCTTTAGTTCCTGTTTCACAAAGACACCAGGAAATGGAGGTGGGCCGGGCTGAGGGCAAGGCTGGCGGGCCAGGGCTGGGGAGCGCCTCCCACTCCCAGCCAAGACAGCCTCGGAGGGCACGGATGGGCAAGGAGGAAACAGTTGCTACTGAATCTTTCGTATTTCTATTTTATTTTGACACCAAGTGCCCAGCCACTGATTTGAGGAAGTGCCCAGTGAGTTGATAAATTTACAGCTGAGGTTCAGGCCTGGAACCTGCTAGCGGGCAAACAAGAGGACTGAGTTATGACTTTTAATATGAACCATTAGACTCTGTGTGTGTGTATATACAGATGCACATGTCTATCTACTCTCTTAGCCGGGCTCTCTCCCGTTCCAGAAAGGATTTGAGGCGCCCAGAATTGTAGCTTGAGCCCATCATCACCTCTGTTGTCACAGCTGTTGTGACCTTCCACAGATTCATCTTGGGCCCAGTCTGCTCATTTGAGGCAATAAGAGAGGGACAGAATGCAAGAGAGGAGCCGTCAAGGTACTGGCCAGTCAACTACTTCCAATACAATACTTCCAATATAATTTTGGGGAGCACAAAAAGGGTGGGTGACTTTTGTCTGGGGCTCTGACCATGTGACATTTGCGAGGAATCTCAGTTTTCCAGGGAGCCAGCCTGGAAATGCACTAATTATATAGGCTCATAAGCCTGTGGACTTTTAACCATTTATATATGAAAAGTGGGTGCTCAGCCTTTTGCCTTACCTGCCACTGAAGGTGAGACAAGAGTTAATCTCATGCTCGGTGAATCATAGGGTTATCATCTCCGGTCTGCGTGACTTCCTGTCCTACTGCGTGCACTCACATCCGGATCTTATGTGTTTTCACTGTAACCTCATGAGGAAGGGGGTACAGGTAGTGTACAAACAGGATAACTGAAGACTAGAAACATGAAGTGACTTGTCTAAGATCACACAGCTGGCACTGTGGGGACTAGAAACCAAGAGGTCTAACTCCTAGGAACAGGGGCCCTCCCATATGTCCCCGTTCACAGCAGCAATCAGCAGGCAAGGAGGGATTTGATAAACCCCACCACTTCCATAAAAGCGCAGGTGCAGAGCACCAGGGGGAATTGGCTTAAGTTCCTAATGATGTCTCAAGTTGCTCTGCGCGAGTTATCTCTGGGTGTGTGGCAAGAGCTTCTCTGCCTGATGCAGGGTGAGGCCCTTAAAACAGGAGGGTTGGCATGATTTTTGCTGCTTTATTTACAATAGGAAAGACATGGAATCAACCCAAATGCCCAAAAGTAGAAGACTGGCTTAAAAAGATGTGGTACATATGCACAGTGGAATATTACTCGGCAATCAAAAAGATAAACATATGCCTTTTGCAGCAACATGGATGGAGCTGGAAGGGATCATGCTTAATGAATTAAGCCAGAAAGAAAAGGAAAAACACCGGATGGTTTCACTCATAACAGGAGTATAAAGGACTGGCGGGGGGATAATAATGATAATAATAATGAACAACTATATACCAGAGACATTTTACAGGGGTGGAGTGGGGAATGGGATCAAAAATGGGGGGGGGCAGGAAGTGCACTGGACTATGGTGATGGCACAGGGTGATTTGGTGCCTGTCGCGCTGGACCCAAGGAGGGAAGAGCTGGTGTGGCTTCAGCTTCCTTTTACCCATTTTTCTGGACTGGTGTGCTCAATCTCAAAATGGTAGATTGGAGGGGGACAATTAAGTTACAGGGAGTCAATGAGGGGGAGGCCTGGGTCCCCCTCAAGGGGAGGGAGGGGAGCATGTGAGCTGCCCTGGCCTGAAAGGCATGTGAGTGGGTCATGGTCAGGTGCCCAGGGCCCCCTGCTGCCCACGGCCTACAGCCTCAACTCTGCTTCTCACCCACTTTAAGGTCTTGGTTCAGCCTCCATTTTCTTGTGTCTAAAACAGTGAGACCTGCTTGTCCCTTACTGTGAGAGTGGGCTCTGGAGTCATCTGGCTGATTTGACCCCTGTGTTTTCCTTTTCCTTGATGGGGAAGTGGAGCAAGTTGCTTCAGCTCTACGAACATCAGTTCATTCACTTGTAACATGGAAATGATAATTTATCTTCTCACAGGTGTGGGGCTTCAGTGAAAAAATACACGAATATACATTTGGGAATTTATAAAGAGAGTAGAGTTCTTGCCACAGCAAAATAAAACCCTTTTAAAAAGAATGCGCGTAAAACACAGCGCCGGGTACCTAGGAAACAGTAAATGGCAGCGATGTGATGTGACTTTAATTGCATTAGTAGCTGTCTCTGTGGGGCAAGCACAGAGGGAGCAAATGACTCAGCAGAGGCCCACCACTGGGTGCTCTGGGCTCTCGGTGAGCCTGGGGCTTTCGCTTGCGTGCATGGGTAGTGGTGACCTCCACAAGTCACCGTCCCAGTTAAACTAGATCTGGTGGAATCCAGCCGCAGGGTGTGGGAGTTTGGGGGGTCTCCTCAGCCTGGTGTTTTTGCCCCACCTACACTCTGACCAGAAACGGGGCACTCTCCTTCCCCTGACTGAAGCCATGTACAAAGGTGTAGATGACAGCTTTGCTCCACTGTACCAGTCCCGGGTGTGGAGCTGCAGGGCTGCCTTGCGCTCGCACACCCACCCGCACGCATGCTCACATGTACCTCCTTGACCACAAGTGCACCTCAGCTGAGCTTGCACTGCGGCTAGCGTCTCAGTCTCCACCTCACCCCTCTGCCTCTCTCACCACAAAAGCCACAGGTTAACAGCAGTCCTCGGCAACCAGCGACCAGGCAGACACAGTGCAACACGCTGAGGCCAGCCCGTTGCCAGGCTGTTTTCAGCAACGAGCCCAGGTGCATAACGGCTGAGCCCAGCAGAGACTGCCCTAACCCACTAGACGGGACTCGGTGTTGGGAGACAGGCGGTGCTGGCCCCACCACCTCCCCACCAAATACTGGGTCCTTGGCAGGTCTCACCCCTCTGCTGCTCTGCTTCCTGTCTGTAAAATGGGGCAGCCAGACTAGTCTGCCCACTCAGGCTAAAGAAAGGCCACCCAGAGATGGGGGACACTGAACAGCCTTGTCACTGTGGTGCCAGTGTGTGTGTGTGTGTGTGTGTGTGTGTTGTTCAAAAAGCTCCCTGAAGCAGGAAGTCAAGAATAGTGATGCGTCCCTTGTGCGGTAGGTCCCAACTTTGCGCATGGCCAGAATCCAGGGTGCTGGCGCCTTCCCTGCTCCCCAAGTCACAATTCTATGGCTTTCCTCCCTCAGCCCGGTGCCCAAGGTGTTTGGCATGAAACTCAGCCAGGGTATAAGAGCTGTGGGCACAGCTGTGGAGGTGTGCCGTGGCGGTGGGGGGGGCAAGCATACAACCAGAGGACTCACTCAGCCACCACCCCATTCCCTTCCCTACAGGCACAGCAGGGGGCCTGTAGTCAGCCCCACAGGGCAGCTAGGAGGCCATCATGGGGCCTGGGTGGGTAGGCGTGGCAGGGGCAGTTTCAAAAGTGTGCGAAGACCAAGGAGTCAGGAGCCGGTGTGGGTGGGAACAGTTCTGGCTATATTTAGCAAGTAGCGACAGGGCAGGGCTTCCCAGGTCCGCAGAGCCCCCTGGGGGTAGGGGCAAACCCTACTGGTCTTTTTGGGACTGGAGCAGTGGCAGCAGTTCCTGCCAGTTCTTGGTTAGGCCTACTGAGCTCATGACAGGAAAGAGACTCACTGGGGTTGGGGGTCAAAGGGCGTGTACAAGCCATGGTAGGTGGGGTGTGACTGTCTCGGGCCAAGGAGCCTGGTGTTCCTAGTGGTTGATTCTGGGGCTGGAGGCTGAGGGCCTTGTTTTCCAGGGACTCTTGGACCGGGGTGGTGTAGGGGGAGGGGAGCAGAGCGAGGACCATCAGGGGTATCCTGAGCCTCTAAACATTCCATGAAAGGAAGGCAAGAGAGGAGATAGCCACCAGTGAGGTCAAGGAGGCAGTGCGTGGGGCCCTTCCAGACAAGGGCTCTGTTTGCTTCTGCAGCCACTCAAACTCCTTCTGTAGCTGGCGCCGCTGCAGCTCCGGGCCCACCTTCTTCCAGATGGTCTGGTGGTAGTCATTCAGGTACTGGAGCTGTAAGGTATAGGAGGGGTGAGGGTTTCCCTAGGCCAAGCTGCCAAGAGGTGAGGACTTGGTACAACCAGTCCCTGCTTCCTTCCCACCTTGTCCCAGGCCACTTCAGGCTTTTCAGGGGCAGTTTCTCCCTGCCTCCCAAGGCCGCTTAATGTCCTAATGACTTTCATGGTGAGTGAGGGATGGCAAAGGATTTCAGGTCCACAAATGAAACGAGAGTAAATAAGGCAGGCATAGTCTCCCCATTTCACAGAGGAGGGAACTGAGGCCCAGAAAAGAGAAAGGATTGCTTATAGTTTTAGGACTTGAGGTAGCAGAGCCCAGCACTGAGTCTTATACTTCCCAGATTCACTACCTGGGGTTGGACAGGCCGATTTGACTGGAGAATTCTAGAAGCCCTGGGGTCTCTAGTGAACTGGGAAAGATGCCCTAATGTGTGTCTATGGGTGCCACTAGTGTGGACCTTTCTGGGGAGGAGAAGAGGCAGAGGGCTTGGGGGTCAGGGGGGCAGTGGTGAGAGAAGCCCAAGGGGAGGGAGAAGGCAGTCAGTGGCTCACAAGTGGAAGGGTGGACAGTGCAGAGGGTACTCACCTGCTCGGGGGACAGCAGGCTGACCTCAATGAGGTTCCGGTCATAGGGCACCAAGGATACCACTTCAAAGGTCAAGTAGGTGCCTGGGTACTGGGAGGACAGAGGGAAGGTGGGAAAGAAGGAAAATGAGGGAGGAGAAAGAACTAAACTGAAGGAAGTGGTGACACTCCACCCAGAAGCCACGGGAACAGGGGACTGACCCTTGTCAAGCCAGAGCTGCAGGGTAGGCCTGACACTCCTATGGTGCCCTTGGCCAATACCCTGTCGTCTACCAGGGAGCACCTCACCTTTGGTGCTGCCCCCTGGGTTCCTGAAGTTTAGACTTAGTCTCTTTCTCGAAGTTGCGCATCCTCAGCACCTAGGGAGCTTGTTACACATGCGGTCTGGGACCTATCTGCTAGACACCCCCCCCCCCCAAGAGGAAACTAGGGCAAAGCTGGGAACCTACATTTAAATAATTGAAAGACAAGTATTAGGCATTTATCCATTTTCTCTCTCCATAGTTTGTGTATCTATTGATTGATATCGCCATAGGGAAAATATAAAGAAGAAACCTAGCCCATGAGTCTTATCACCCTGACATGCACAGTAAGTCCTTACTGAATCTCAGAAACTGTGACTTTCAGCGAAACAAGGTCTAATAAAAGTAGGTGCCCTGATGACATCATTTGAGACAAGTTCTTCACGGATTGTCTCTTTACTAATGCTATAAAAAAAAAATACTGAACAAAGGGACATTATTTGAGGGCCCTGCTGTATGTGCTTAGAGAAGTCAAACCACAACAGTTATACAATATAAATGGAAAGTCTCCTTCCTGCCTGGTTTCCTTCCTTAAAACATTTCAGGGATTATAATATATATAATGTTTATATTTTCAAAATCTATGCAAAATAGATACACATTTCTCTGAGTACTCTCCAAGTTCCCTTTAAATATGGGGAGTAAACTAAGACGAGCTCTTCATATCTAAAAAGGGAAACTGACCTCATTCCCTTTAAGGGCTGCATAAGGGTTCATAGGAAGTGGGTGGTTATTTATTTAACCAGTAATGGATATTTCCACTGCCTTCACTTTTTTTTTTTTAACTCTTCCCATCAATGAGCCAATGAACATTATTATATTCACATCTTGGTGACCTTTGTGGACATACCCACAAGGTATATGTCTGGCACAGGAATTGCCAAGACAAAAGGTACAGACATTTTTAGTAGGAAATTTGATATCATCACGCACTCCGAGAGGTGGTACTAACTTGTACTTTCTCCAACAGTATATGAGAGTGCCCCTCTCACCAGCACAAGTATCATCAAAATCTCTAATTGTCTCCAAACCAGATAGGTGAAACATGGTATTATATCGCTGTTTTGATTTATATATATATTTTTTTATTAAAAAGTTATTTTATTAAAAAGTTATTTTATTAAAAAGTTTATTTTTACATTTTTTTCATTTTTACATTTTTTTTCATCTCAAATGATTTATATTTTTTAAAAAATAGTTTCCAGCATCTTTTTAAGCTTAGTGAATTGCTTCTTTAGGACCTTTGCCCTTTTATCCTGTTTTCATTGTTTTTCTTATTGATTTATAAAAGTTCACTGTAAAAGATGGAAAATCTTCCTTTCTCTGTCATATCTGCTATATTTATCTTCTCACTTTCTTTATAGTATTGTTTCCAGATGGACATTTTTCATTTAGTCAGAATCACCAATCTTTTCCTTCTTAGTTCTTGGATCTTACATAGAAAGGCCTTTCTCCACTATGAAGCTATCTGTGAATTTATGTAGGTTTTCTTCTAGATCTTTTGTGGTTTTATTTTCAAACCTCAGTTTGCTTGGAATTTTATTCTGGAGTAGCAGTAAAGTTCTTTGGTTAAACCTGCTCCCTGCCCAAATGATTAGCCATTTATACCTCTTGCCCTGTTAATAAGCATTCTCTCTCTCCTTTACTGTTTTGAATCATCAGCTTTATTGTAAACTAAATTCTCATTTTATCTATGGGAATTCAGGGGTCTATTTCTGTCCCACTGTTCCATCTGTCTCCCCATCTCTGGCGTCACTGTTTCAGATATGGGTAGCTTCAGATTATGTGCTAACATCTGAAAGGGCTCGGTTCCCTTATTGCTCTTCCTTTTCATCATTTTCCTAGCTACCTATTTTTACAAATAAATTTTGTTATTTTGTGAAGTTACAAAAGTTTCCAGTTAACACCAAAATTGAGGTTCTCTTGAATTTATAGATCAATTTAGGGAGAAATGTCATCTTCATAATATTGAGGCATTTTTCCAGAAAGTACCAATTTCTTGAATTTTTTTACATCCCTTAGTACATATTTTTCTCCACGCAAGCCTGTTTAAGTTTATATTTAGATGTTTTATCTTGTTGGCTGCTATTAGATGGAAATCTTTCTAAGAAGCTCCCCTACATGTGTTCAGAACCAACAATTTAGGGCAGGAATTCTTATTCACTTGGTCTGGATGAGACCTGGGCATGGTCATTAAGAGAAAAATAAAAGGCTCTTCAGGTGACTACTACTCTACTGTGCAAACAAGTTTGAGAAACTCTAATTTATGGAATTTTTGTGGAGCCAAGGAAGATGCAAATTAACTCACACCCACATATTACACATCCTCTCTGACACACCTTGCATGCCATGCAGCCCAAGGTTCTCTCTAGCCCGTGTGTTCTTACCTTGGTCTTTGCTTCTACCACAAGTGCCACATCTTCAAGACGGATTCCAAATTCCCCATCCTGATAGTAACCAGGTTCTGAGAGGCACAGAGATGCTGGTGGTATTAAGCAGCAGGGAGGCCCAAGCCCAGGCCTCTTGTGTCCTTGGAGGGGTGCTCAGAGGACCGCTTGCCTGGCTACCCGTAGCCGTGGGCTTGGGCAGACTCATCCTTGTTGGGAGTTCAGTGGCCATAAAGGGGCAACCTGTCAGGACTCAGACTCCCCCATCCTCCGTGCAGCCCACGGAGGAAGGTTTAGGAGCTTCCTTGCCCTCCTGTCCTCATGCCCTTCTCTCCTGTTATCCCAGTGTTTGACTGGAGACCCCAGAGTTTTGATGTACAGCTGGAGATCAACTCCCAAGGCAAAATGAGGGTATGGGCTAAAGGGGCTGGGTGTGTTGGGGGCACAATGTATTTGGTGCTGCGAGTGGTGGGGGAGGGAATGCAGTGGGGACCTAGGCTTGCAGATGCCTGGCGTGCTTCCTGAGGGCTGGTGCTCTCTCCACAGCTTTCCTGGGCTAGTCTTAGAGTGGGACGGGGTCGGGGAGCCCGAGAGCCTTACCGATAGAAGTGAACATGCCCTTGGTCATGGCAATGTTGTCAGACTGGAATCCCACTGGCCCTGGAAAAGTAGATACAAACCCTGTCAGCTCTCCTGTACCCACCAGCCTGGGTTCTAGCAGGGGTGGGGAAAAGCAAGTAGCTAATGCCCTCTGGGCATTTCTAACAGCACTTATTCGCTGCATCTTTGTCTACTTGTGGGCTGAAGCAGACAAGAGAAGCTCTGGTGTCTATGCTGGTTGGCAGTTCTCGCTAGGTCTTGACATGCCTCTCTCCCGTCTGGGCCCTCCCCGGTGCCTAGCAGGCAACAGGAGTGGTCAGCTGCCAGCAGTTCTCACTTACCCCATGGACCATCACGCCCCTACCAGTTGGACATTGTTGGGTGGGCCACTCTGTGGGACTTGGTCAATTTCATACCTACCTCTTTCATAAGGGGGACCCCTGGGGGTGGTTGAGGAGACACCTACACTCATGCACACCCAGGAAGTTGCCAATGCCATGTCCTGTCCCATGACCATAATTGAGCCCAACGTCCCACAAGGCTCTGCGGGCAAAGGCCTCCACCATTCGCCCTGGAAGAGAGATAGCCCCAGATCAGTCAGTTGGCGGAATCTCAGACAGTCTATCTTGCTCCCTCCATCTCTCTTGTTCCACAGTCAACTGCCAAAATGGTGCCTGAGGAGAGAGGGGCAGGTAGTTTACATTATCTCCAGCATCGCACATTGTACATCTGGACTGATGTGATGATTCTACTGTATAGATCCCCATCTGTCAAGACACCTGTTGGAAGCTCCCATGATGACTACAGCTCACTCTGATGCCCCCACCAAGTGTCAGATTAGGAAGCAGGAGGCCTGGGCTCGAGGCCTGGTTCTCTAGCAACACTGTGTGACCTTGGGCAAGTTGCTTTCTCTCCTGGTTGCATGTTCTCATCTACACCATGGATAGGATGCTGATAGAATCCCTGTCCTGCTAGCCTCCCAGAGTGGTGGTCTGGGTCCAGAAGATCAGCTCGGGGTCTCTGACACCCACCTGAAGTAGAAGCAGGAAAGATGAGTCTGGACAGATCAATGTTTCCCATTAACACACGAGTATACGCCTCCTGATGGGCAGAGGGAGAGGAAAAGTGACCACAAGAAGAGCCCAAGAGCTTCCAGCTGCTTGGCCTGTATGCACATGTGAGGTGTAGCCCAGTGTGGGCAGGTGCTCGTGCCTCCTAGATTGTCACTCAGGTTCTGCAAGATGACCAGAGGAGGCCCTGGGGAGCCTTCCTAAAGCTGGGCCTTGTTCCAGGTGGCTCTGCTTGGCTGGTCCACAGGGATGTTTGCAGGTAGGGAGTTGGGAGGCAACACCCCCTGGGCCGGGCCCCAGTCTTAGTCACTCACATTCTGAGACCTTGGGCCAGTGACTTTAATTGCTCTGTGCCTGTTTCCTCCTCCATAACGGGCCATCACAGTACTAGCTCATTAGTTGTTGTGAGGAGAGGTAGACTCATGCACAAAAGGAGCATCAAAGGGAAAATGCCAGAATAGAGGTCAGGGTCCTTCTACCTGGCACCATCATCCTATAGTTTGCTCACGGCCTCCAGTTTGGGTTGGGCCTTATAATTGGGCAGGGCTGATACTCTGTAGAAAGGAGGGAGGTGGATTGACAGCAGCTTCTTTTCCTGGACACCTCTTGTGGCAATGGTATGGATTTCCACCCCCCCCTCTCTCTCTCACACACACACACACCACATCACACACACCACAGACACCACACACACCACACACACACACACCACATACCACACACCACACACACTCACACACATCAAATACCACACACCATCTTGTCATTTCTGGAATGACAGCCCTGGGCAGCGGATTCAATCTGCTCAATAGACCAACCACCATTTGTTCTCTGTTTCCAGCACAATGTCCGAGCCACAGTCTGCTTGCTGGGTGCATGCAGGCGGCCTTTGGCTCCCTGCCCCGGGCCCACAGTGCACATAGATACGGCCCCTACTCTGTCTCAGGTCCATCAGCTCCTTTTCACTTTGTAGACATCCCATCTCTGAAACTGTATTCTCCACCCAGAATGCCTTTTTCCCTCCTTTCTGATGAGAATAGGGCCAGGCACACAGACAGCTACATCCCATTTGTTCACTGATAGTAATAACATTTGCTCCTGTGTGAATGATAGGTCACACATTTGGAAAGAATGGTACTTGTCTAGTCTGTATGTCTGTCGTGCCCAAGTGTTCACGTTGTGCACTGAACAAATGTGCAACACATTTGAATAAATATGTGTTCATTCATTTACTGAAATTGGGCTGATGCCTTTGAGTGACGTGGATTATCTCTAGGGAAATAGCGAGAGGCACTGGGTTTTCTGCTACTAAGATACTAACTTGTTGTGTGAGCTTAGGCAAACTACTTAGCCTCTCTGAGTCTTAGTTGTAGTCTTTGTAAAATGAAAGGGCTCTTGGTGGGGTGACTGTTCAGGTGTCCTGGGGGTAAGGCTGAGCAGGGGAACACTGGGTCCAAAACTTACCTTTTGGAAAGCAGAGGGGGTACCCCAATGGACTGTTCTGGTGATGTCTGTGGTTCCGTCCCTGTGGAGAAGGAACATCAACATGTCTAGCTCTGCCGAACATGTGGGGGTGGGATTGTGGCATGTGCATCCCAAGTGCTTTCCACTGGGGTTGGAGCAGCAGGGCTGAGATGTGGGTAGGATGGGAAGTGAAAGGAAGAAAACAGTTGCCATCATCAAATTTCCATTTTAGTAATTATGTGTGAAGGGGCTCTGCAAAGCTATGAAGTTCAAAGTCACAATGTTGTTACATGCGCCCCCAGTCCCTACATTCACATTCCACCCCATGCCACCCATTTTGACTCTTTTGTAAATGTGGATTTCCTCACGTCAGACTGACTCTAAAACCCAGGCTTCCTAGGAGGTGGGAGGAGATGTCTCATGTTTTTCAATAGGGAAACTGAGGTCCAGAGAACTCATCACACTCTTACAGTCACAGATCCATTGACTATTGATAGACCACATCGCATTTCCCTGGAACAGGAGGCAGAGCAGTCCTCAAGCTCCCCATTTCACAGATGAGACCACTGAGGCCTTGAGGCTGTCTCCCTCTCTTAGCCTCAATGAAGCCAGGCCCTGAGCAAGAACAGGTCTCTTTGCGTGGACTCTGCATAGTGTCCCAGGAAACAGAAGCCAGAAGCCAAAAAGTCTGCCTCCCAATAGCCAGGTAGAGCTGGCGAGAGAGGGAAGGGGCTGGGGTCCAGGGCCCTGGGGCCTCCTCTGTGGAAGCAGGTATAAAGGGATGCTCTTGATTTCACGGCTACGTGCTCATGTCAGTGAGACCACTGAGCTGGCAGGGTCCTCGGGCAGGAGGGAGCACCCTCCCAGTCAGCCCTACGCATGGCTGTGCATGCACTCAGAATAGCATGCACACGGAGCTCTGCAGAGACCTGCACCCATGCTGATGGGTGTGGCTGACTTCTTCGGAAATCGAGAAGAGGAAGTCAGGTGACCCTTTCCCTGGTCTCACTCAGCTCTGAGCATGCCCCAGTCCAGCAACACCCTGCAAATTCATTTCCCCTTTGTCATTGGCCATTGCAACTGGTGACTAACCAGCAAAGGCTGCTGGGCTTGCAGGCTGTCACCCAGAGCTGCTCGAAGAACGAATGAAGGGCCTTTGCATGAGCGCACTGAGAGCATCGATTGGGAAACTGTTGGAAACTTCTCATTGCTTCTCAAACATCAGTGAGGTGCACCTCTTCCTTTTCCTACTCAGAGCTTCCCACAGTCCACTCGCTTCTTATATGAGCAAGGAAAACCTTCCAGCTCCATGCACATTTAGGAGGAAGGGAGCTAACTTTTTCTGCATGGCCGTCACGGCTGAGTGTTCAGGCTGTGCAGTGTATATGGGCAAGGCATCTAAGGGGTGCGGTTAGCCTCGAGGCCACATACTAATTTCAAAGAGAGTCCTCAGGTGGGCACACAGATGGAGGCGTTCTGGGGCAGGGGATGCACCTCCTACACAGCCCTACATGTGGCTGTGCACACACTCAGAGGAACACACACAGCTACTCACAGACACGCGCCCATGCCGATGGGTACACCTTTACCCAACTGTGTTCCACGCGTCACCTGAGATTACTTCTCTCACCTGCCGGCTGAACTTGGAGGCTGGATCTTGCAGTCCCAACCTGACATGGTGACCTCACCCATGCAGGCAGGGTAGGGGTGAGGGGAGTCTGAAGCGCATGCTCGGTGCTGGTGGCATACAGGCCATGGCAAGGGTGTGCCCAAGTGAGAAAACGGGGGAAGGATTTGTGCAACCAGGCATGGCTGCAAGGCTATTCAAACTGTGCAATTCTATGTGGGCAAAAAAAAACATTTTGTTTGAGCAATGGAAGCCTTTTCCTAATTCTCACAGAGGTACTGCATGGTAGCCCCACTGTTTCTGGTCTCTTTTCCTTTGTAGTGTCCCCCAAGTGTAAAAACAGTAGGAGGCCCAGGGCTCATTCAATCCAGGCCTCTCTTTTCACAGATGAAGACTCTGTTGTCCAGAAAGGGCAGCTGAGGCAGCCAGGCCAGGATAGGCGGGGGAGTACATACCAGTATTGTCCCCCAGAATCCAGCAGGTACATCTCACCGGTGGACAGCTTGCGGTTCTGCTCCTTGGTTGGGCTGGGAAGGGAGGGGCATTGAGAAAGGAGCAACCTGACCTGAGTGAAACCAGAGGGACCCGTCACTCCTGAGGGTCAGACTCACTCCTTGGGGAGGTCATTACCTCCCAAAGGGCTGTGGAGAGTCCTGAGCTTCTGCCACTAATGTCCTCATACACATCTGTTTATCCTATACCTTGCCAAGCAATGCCCTGGTCTCCATGGAGGTGACAAAGGGAAGGACCCAGAATGTGGGTGCTGGGAGAGCCTTAGAGACTACCCAGTTCAGCGTCCTCTTTTCCATAGGAGAAATGTCTTGCATGAAGCCATATGGTTAAAAAAAAAAAAAAAAAACAGGGGAGAACTGGGCCTAGACCCCAGATGCTCAATGTTCTTGCTCTGACTTCCTGCTACCTTTTAGAGTAGAGGACCCAGGAAGCCAAGACACAGGAAGTGTGGGTACCCCAAGATAGAGCTGGTGAGCAAAAGTTGGTAGGGCTGAGGAGATTCTACCCTGCCATTCTCTCATGGAGAACAGGGGCTGGACCAAAGCAGCTGGAGGCTGGGGATATGCCAGGGGAGGGAATTCTGGGATAGGTCAAGCCAGCCCTTGCAAGTTTCTGACCTCTCTCTGCTGTGCCCATGCCAGGCTGAGGTATCTGGTCAGCTTGGCCTTCCTACATTTTGTCAGTCAGGCCCGCAGGTGTTTGCTTTCTATTGGTCCAAACATCTGGCCAGCCTGCACCTTGGTTGTTCAGGCTGAGTGAACACACCTTTCTCCCCATGTGTTTATGAACTTTAAGAATTAGCCAACACAAATAAGTCACAGGAAGCCAAGGGAAGCACTCACCAAGTCCAAGTCTCTGAGGGGAAAATTGTTCATGTCTATTAATCCCAAGGAGAGTCCAACTCTCTCCTACGCCTCCAGCTCTACTCCCTACCTCCAGCCCCACAGCATTAGCGGCCTCAAAGTATAAATGTGGGCTGACTTCCCAGAGCAGTTCCTTTCCTCCATTCCCTCTGCACATACAGTAGGATCCCGGCCCCCCAAGCCCCAAACACACAGGACTCTTGAAAACTCTTTTTCAGTACCTGTAGTGGGCCAGAGCAGCATTCAGGCCACTGGCAGAGATGGTTTCAAAACTGGGGCCAGAGGAGAAACTTTCTTCTCTAGAAAGCACAAGGCAGGAATGGTCAGTGAATAGACTCTGGTGCTAGGCCACGTGCAGCGTAAAGGAAAAGACATGGTTGCCTCAACCTCAGCCAGATCTCCTGGTTCATTTTCCCAAGCCCCAACCTGTCACTTACAGAACACTCAAGGCTAGAGAAGGAGGACTGTAGACACCAATTTTTCCACCTCCACCTCCATTTTACAGATGGGGAAACAATTCCCATACTTCCCACAGCGAGTGTGAAGAAATCTAACTCCCTGTACCTGAAAACTCCCCCAGCCTTGAAGCTGCGTCTGCACCTCAAACCTACAGTCTGCCTCTGGCCTAAGCCAAGCATGCTCCAACTTGATATTCCCCAGTGGGGCAGGGGCTGCTGACCTGGCCTGCTGAGCCAGCTCTGGAGGGGCAGGGAAGGAAGGGGCCCTTGCCCTGAGCAGACACCAGGGGGCGCTATTGGGTTGTAGCCCTTCAAGTTGCCCTGCTTTCAGCCGTGCTGGGAATGTCACACATCTCCTGCCCAGTTCCCTGATTCCCCCTCTCTGCTACCGAGAGGACCCAACTACAAGAAGGGTCTTCTCTCCTCCGGGAGTCGGGAGACCAATTCTCCCTCCCGCCCTTTTCAGCCTCCACCAATAGTCAGCCAAAGAAGACAGCCGTGGTTCACCCTCTGAACTTTTCCACCAGTTCTGCCCCTGAGAACTCGTTCACGGTGCCTTTGGGCACGTTCTGCTCCAGCCAGGACAGGTAACGGATCACGGCCACGGCGTCCCGCACCTGGAGCAGGTCAAGCAAAGAGCAGGCTGAGGAGTGGTTCTCACCACAGTGGGAGGGGGTGCTCCTTAAAAACTCTTCGGGTTCACTGTCTATTCGATGATAGGATGGGATTCTCGTTAGTGCTCATTGTGTGGTGTCCGTTTTACAGATGAGGTAACTGAGGCCCAGAGAGGTGGGGCTCCTTGCTCGAGGTCACCCAGCTAGGAGGTGGGTGAAGGAGTTGGGGTTTGGATGGAAACAACGTAGCTCCAGGGATGGTGCTCCAAACCATAGCACTGTGCTGGGCCTAAGGAGGCGGGACACAGGAGTTTGGTGTCCAGGTCACTGTTTCACTAAGGGGCTTCTTTAGGGCCCTCCTGCCAGGTGACCTTTCTAAATTCAAAGCCAGACCTCCCAAAACCCACCACTGTCCTTGGCTTACGTGGGTGGCCCTGAGCAGGTCCTGCTCCTTGCTGTTTTTCACTGCCTTGTTTATCATCACTGGGGAGTACGTGTCTGGTACGACCTTCTCCTGCACAAGAAGAGAAGAAGAGGCTTGAGGGTCCCCTTTGCGTCACTGTGGTGTTAGAACACTGTGGAGGAAAGCCTGGCTGAAGGGAGATTTCGTTTCTCATGGTGACGATGGCTTTGCCTTTGGGGCTTTCTGGTTATGCAGGACTTTCCTAGTCTAGATCCCTGTTCCTGGATCCCACCAGTGCTCTGGGACAGCTCAGAGCCTGGCCGGAGCCGGTCGATGGGCGCTTGTGATAGTGTGTTTCCTGCACGTGTTGCATCATCACAACTGCCATTTATTGAGTGCCTGCCCTGTGGCAGCCTCTAGATTTTACAGGCACTGCCTCTTCTAAAGTTACTCAGAGCAATTCCTCTGAGGTGGCCACACTTATACCATTGTACAGGTGAGGAAGCAACCTCGGGATGACTATGGCACTGGTCTAAGGTCATTGCCCAGCTAGATCTGGGCAGAGCCGGGACTCAACCTTGGGTCTGACTGACCTCAAAGCCCCTGCTCTACCAAACTGTATCCTCTGTAATCTCTTGGACAATCTGAGCTCTCTGTGGATAGACAACCTGCTTCCTCTTCTTCTGTGTTTCCTGGGAAAGCTTAGAAAGGGACTCAGTGCCCCACTGCTGACTGATCAACTGCCTGAATAGCTGAGAGGCTGTGGAGCCACGTTAGGTTGCAGCTTCCTGGGGTGTGGTAGCTGGTCTGGGCTGTGGCCTGGCAGACTCACCCTGGGGATCACTTCATAGAGCCCGTACGTTGTATAGCTGGTCCCGATCCAGACCCGCACGTCTTCTGAGGTGTAGGCCTGGATGGCATTGCGGACCTGGCTGTACTCCTCGATTTGAACACACATGGCCTCCTTGCAGCTGGAGTTCAGGTACTGCAGGGTCTCGGGGTTCAATCGACTCTTATTTACAAATAGCCTGTGGGGAGGGAAGCCGGGTGGGGGCTGCATGTCTCTAAGGCCAGAGTGAAGGACATGAGACTGTTGTGGAGGTGCCAGGGAACCAAGCACAGGATTTGGGGTGTTCGCGAGCAGAGGCCATAGGTCAGGAAAAGGCTGTTCAAGGCTTCCTAGACGGTCATGCTGGGCAGGCTCCAAGTTCATGGGCAGGCTGCACACTGGGGTGGAGTGTGCAAGGGCTGAGTAAGGTGAGGGGGGAGTGTGGAGAAAAGCCAAGGAAGAGTCGTACCTGATGTCCTTCTGGGTAAGCAGTGTGTAGGAATAGAAGAAGGGGTTATAGGGAATGTCCTTGCCCCGCAGGTTGAAGAGCCCTGGGGACGAGAATCCACGGGACTCTGAGGCTGAGCTGCCTGAGCAAACGCATGTGACACTTCCACCCCACTGTTTGCTTTGACCCCAAGGTTGCTAGCAGCACTACCTCATCTGCCTCTGAGGATTTCTCAGTCTTCGGGGGGTAGAGGGACTGGTGTTGAGGCACTAATGAGAGCCCCCTAATGCAGACGCTGGTCAACATGTCGTTTCAGCGGGTTTCCAGAATATCTGGAACTCAGTGCCGGGGCCAGGTAGGAAGGTTGAGCCACACTGGGACAGAATAAGGCCTCACCCGGTGCTAGTGCTGGTAGTGGGCATGCCCTGGGGCGCAGCCGGCTGTTGGAAGGGTTTATGGAACCTCTTCCCCTTTGTGAGACAGGAGCCTTTAAGCTGCGCCACTCCTCCAGTGGCTCACTCCAACTTACTGTGGGCTTCCTGGCTTCCTTAGTCAGCACCTATGAGCTCTGTGTTCCTTTCCCCTCTGAGTTCCCACACACCATGGCCATGGAGCTCTGAGCCGGTGGGCCCAAGGTTGCTGGGGGAGGAACCCTGTGTTGCAAGGACCAGGATGTTTGGCAGTTCGTGGCACCCACCGGGCCTCCAATCCGTACTCACAGGCCGTCTCATCAAGCGCGGACAGAAGGACAGCAGTTGGGTTCTTGCGATGATTCTTCATCTGGGTGCGGATGTTAGCTACCTTGTCCTGCCAGCTGCTCCCTAGAAGCAGGGGGTCCCAAGGAAGTGTAAGCCATGCCCTTGGAAGGCTGTTCCTGAGAGTATGCCTCTAGGGCAGTAGTTTTTTATTTTTATTTTTAAAGATTTCTTTATTTATGCCTACAGGCCAGAGGTGCAGGGGCGGTGAGAGGATTCACTAGAGACAGAGTGGGGAGCAGAACAGGCAGATGGACAAAGTAGTGGGTGAAACAGAAGAGGTCTGCTGCGCCATGTGGGTCGCCTCCTGGTCGGGGATCGAACTTGCACTGAAGCAGCTATTGTAGTGCTGCACCCTAACCCTTCGCCACCAGGGAGAGCCAGTTTTTCATTTCTTTAAAAGCGGTAGAACCCGTTCTTCAACCAGACTCTTATACCGTCTTCACTGACGACAGGACACAGACTTTGGACTCCAGTTGTCTGGGCTCAAATTCTGGTGCTAGCACTACTAGTTGGGTGACCTTGGCCAAACCACTTCACACCTCTGTGTCATATTTTGTGGTCAGTAACATGGGGACCAAAAGAAGTAATATTTGTTATACAGGTAGAATGATGCCTGAGTCTAAAGGAAGGCTTAACTTTCTGATTAATAAATGAGCGTGCAGGGTCTCCTTGGTGGCGCAGGGGTTAAAGTCTTAGCACTATGAAGCTATCACCAACCACTGTGACCTGAGTTCTCTCCACAGCCAGGGAGGTGACCCTCAAGGCGCCTATCTGGTCCCCTGGCTCCCCTCAGCAGTGGATTTCAGTGTATTTGCTTGTTCTGCTCCCTACTCTGTTTCTGCTGAATACTCTTACCCTCCCCCCCCACCCTGCACCTCTGGCCTACACCCCAGTTTTTGTATGCATAAATAAAACGTTTTCAAAAAATAAATAAAATCAATGGGCACGCAGGACAGAGGCGAGTGATCCCTAGTTGACTGGCCGAAGTATGGGACTGAGCCTCAGCCCGGCAGTAAGCCCTGGTTTACTAATCCAGGGATGTGGACAGGTGTCATGTGTATATAGTCTTAATCCCATTTTGGCCAGTTCCAGATAAGGATTTCCAGGCTTCAGAGAGGTAAAGACTTATCTAGGGTTTTATAGCTGGCCAGGGGTGGAGCTGACTGAGGTTTGAACCCAGGTCTGTTTGACTGCCCCGCCCAGAGTCAACCTCTAGCTGGTGTTCTCAGTCTCCAGTCCTGTCCTTCACGGGTGTCACAGAGCTGTCCTTTGTAGGATGTTTATATCCTGGTTCTAGGCTTCGGCTTTCATCTTTTGTCTTTACTTCCTGCACTGCATAAAGTCTGCCCCTAGGCAGGGCTAGGGATTTGCTGGAAGTTCACGAGCTAATCTTAAGGATCCTATGGGGGTCAGAGAGGAGCATAAATACAGTTAAAAAAAAAAAAAACAACCTTCTGCAGACAGGTAAAACTCGGTAACAAGAACCAAAGCTTTGGGTCTGATACAATTGTAGGCTTCTATTTTTTAACCATAAAATACACATACCAAAGAATTTATGATTCTAATCATTTTAAAGTACGGAATTTGGTGATTTCAGAACATTCACAAGGTTGTGCAACTGCCACCACTACCTAATTCCAGAACACTCTCATCATCCCAAAAGGAAACCCTGTAACCTTTAGGCAGTTAATTCCCATCTCCCCCACCCCCAGCCCTGGAAATCACTAACCAGCTTTGCCTGTGCTGGATACTGCAGGCAACGCGGGGCCTTGTCTGACTGGCATCTCTCTCTTAGCATTATGATTTCAAGATTCATGGATGTGATACATTTTAAAGCCAACAAACAGAAACAGATTGAAATAATCTGATGCATCTGAGAAACTTTCAGTGAGCAAGTTTTCATGCACGGATTTTCTATGCCCTTTGCCCTCTTTAAACCTGTGAGTGGTCGGAGAGAAAGTCTCTCTTGTCGCTATAAGCTTAGAGACTCGAGAACACTGTTCTTGGAACTTTGTTCTGGCTCCTGAGGGCTTTTTCTTAAAGACTAGCGGTGTGCGATGGCCAAGCATCCCCTCCCTTATGGGCAGTGCAAAGCCCATGGGGATGTGCCCCCTGCCCCCTAAAGGCTCTCCCCTAGACCCCCTTCCCTTCCTCCAATAGCTGCATCCTCCTTTATCTGAATGGGCGGGTTTGATTTGTGGTAGAACAGTCTTGGAGAGCATGTTTCTTTAAAACGTGTCAAAAGGCAGAAAGAATGATTGTGTAAGTTACATCAGACAGGATAAAGAAAGAAAATTGGACACAATTTAAAATGGTTTCATCAGAGCCTGCTATTTTGAAATTTCTCTCCTGCTTTATTGACTCCTTTCCAAACAAGAACAGTACAGAGACCCACGTGTGGAAAAGGGGCCTCTCTGATTGCCCAATATGCCTAAGAATGAGTCTATTGGCCTGTTCAGAATTCCCGGGGAGGTAAGGGGTGGTGGTGGCCAAGACTGATTCATAATCAGTAGGCTGCTCTGTCAGGATTTCAGCTGTGATTTACTGGAATTACAGCACGTAAGATGTATTCCGATGTCAAGGAGGCCAAGATGACTGATGTTAGAATTTGGCCAAGCGAGTCAGTTAACTTTCCTTTGTGACCTGGCCAAAACGAGAATCCTAGCTGTTGTCACAGACTGACCTGAGCTTAGTTATTTACTTCCTTTGTTAACCCCGGCCCACCTGAGCTGAGTTTTCTAAAATTGAAATCCCTCATCACAGGGAGACCAGAAGTCAAGGTTTGGCTGGCTGACTGACTAGAAACTGCGCTGCACTACCAGACACACGACTCAAGTTCTCTTGTTCCCTTTTCCAAAGGGTGGCTTTTTCCCCATATTTCTCTAACTCTGGGCTTTCTCTTTTCCTGCTCCCTCTCGTTTCCAGCCCTAGTGTGTTAATGCCAGCATTTTCTAAATTTGGTCAAAGGACCTTTTGATTCCAACTCTCTGAGGCAACAGGACAGACAAATCCACATTTGAAACAAGCATCCTGGGTGACTGGATTTGATTCGTTGCACATGAAGTTTTGAGAATTGCTGCTTTGGTACCTCTTGGGACAAATGTTTCAGTCAAAGGAGCAGCAGCAGGGACAGGTAACATGTTGGGAAGCAGAACTGGCTTCAGAAATTACCTGTGAATTCCTGCTGCAGGGCATAAATAGGCTCGCTGGGAACCGGAGGTCTCTCTGACCCCCACACCTGGTCCACGAGGTTGGTGGTGATGGACACCAGCCGTCTGTCAAAGCCTTGGAGGGCCACATTATAACTCTCCCAGGAGCCTGCAGAGAGGGAAAGAGTCACTTGTGCCCTACCCATTTACACCTCAGGAGAAGCCGTGAGTCAGGCCTGGCGAGTTCTTGTCTGCTCTACCTCCCGTTCCACTCCCGCCACTGCCCTGCCCAGAGCTATCCCCTGTACCAAGAGCTCTGTGCGGTCCTCTGGTGCTGTCCATTTGAACTGAACTTCAATGCCACCACCCAAAGGAAAGGCTCTGTTGAGGCAAAGACTGGCAGGAAGCCAGGGGGGCTCTTGGCACACGTGCCCAGATTCCACCTTTGGCCAGCTGGCTGGGGCTCCCGAGCTCAGGGAGCTGGATTCCTGGGGGCGAAGGGGCTTCTTTACTCAGAAGTTCTCTTTTCCTTTGACCCTTTTCGGCTGCCTTCCAGTAGCGGGCTGCCATGTGATCCAGTGCCCCGGCACAGAGGACTGGACAGGGTCCAGTAACCCTGGGTTATTCACTTGCTAGATCCTTAATGATTCTTTGAGACGTTCAGCTTGGTTCTCTGCATTTGTGGCTTTAAAATAACCGGTATTCTTTCTTGGAAGGACATTTTATGACACAATCCATGAATACAACTTTGTTGCAAAACATTCTGCACCCACAAGTTCAAACACTCCATCTGTTGAATCACCCTGCTCCCCATCTACCAAGGTATGCTTCTTTCCACCCCAGGGGAGCTTGTGCCTCCTCAGTGACGTGGACAGATGCAGGGGCTGAGGGAAGGACTTACCAATGGAGAAGAGGAAGGGGTCGAAGCCCACAAGCCCTCCAGCAGGAATCTCATCAAGGATCCAGGTGGCAATGGGGGAGGTGCCAACTGAGAGACAGCAAGGAACACAGAGGTCACCTCCAGCCCAGGTGACAGTCTGTGACAGTCCTGCCACACGTGTCCTCCTTGCTATTAGCTCCACAGGTTAGGGCTCAAGTTCCCTGCACTTCCACAGAGGCCCGGCATGGCCTTGCCGTGCCTTCCCCACCCCGGGTCCAGGGGCTTGGAGGCAAACCCATGTGGCCGTTTTACCTTCCTTATGGAGCTCCCAATTGCAGTCCATCTGCCGCTCAGCCTGGGTCCAGTAGCGACTGTCTGTCCAGAGAGCTGCTTTCCCCATGGTCACCACTGCGGTCCCTGGACCAGAGCACGGAAACTTGGAGATGAGGGTGCAGCCAAGGAACCTGGGTTGTCAGTGCCGGTGCTGGTTCTGAGCATGACCCCAGGGGCTTCCGTATCTCCTCCATCCCAAGGATGTTAAGAAAGACTTGGGGGAAGCCAGTTGCAAGGGTGGCCTGGTCAGGCCTCTCTGCCATATGTTGTGGGCCTCTCCAAAGGGGCCCTTGGCAGGAGAAGAGTGGGGTCTGCGTTGGGCAGTTCTAGGCAGGCGATGCTGCATGTTGATGAGGTAGTCAGTGGCCAGACTTGGTGTCTGCTGGGGCTACTGCGCAGGGACTTAGCTGAGGACACTCGTGGAAGCCAAAGCCAACGACTCTGGCAAAAAGAGGGTCCATGGTGGGCAAGGCTAGGCACCTCGTTGCTCAGGGGAGGAATTGTTCACGGATCACAAGGGAAGCTGGTCTTTCATTCAAAGGGACAGGGCTAGGATGACAGGTCCCTTCAGAAATTGGGACCCCATGCATGGCCTCTATGCTGATACGTCACTCGGCCTTGTGAGGGGATCTTATCTGTAACATGACAAAGGTAAGCTTTCCCATTGTGTGAAGGGAATGAGTAGGTCCCTACTGACCTGAGGTGGAAGTAGCAACCGTCTGAGCTGGGCCCCGGCTGTGACGGAGCAGCATGGGAAGCCCAGTGGGCACCTACCTCAATAGAAATGTGGGTGGTGGCCTAGGAGACTTGTGCCCTGAGGAACCTGTTGGGGGCAGTTGCCCCAGTGACACATTTTGAGTGGTGGAAGGGTGGCAGAGAAGAGAGAGAGAGTAGCAGGAGCCTCTGAGCACTAAGTCCTGGGGTCTTGGTTGCTAAGAACCAGCCGCACCAGGGCCTCTGTGACCCCTTTGGCAATGCCAACAGAAGCAATGAAGGCTGGGTAATGGCTGTTACCTGCAGACCCTGTGAATCCTGACATCCATGCACGCCTCTTATCAGAGTCGCCGATGTACTCACTCTAGGAAATCAACAACAGTGTCTTTAGTCTTCTTCACTGAGTCAGATCCCACACAGAAGGCCCCTACTACATCCCAGCTCTTCCTGTCTGGTCAGATTCGATTAGCCCATCTATGCTGGTTACCTCTTCTAGGAAGCCCTGAGGAATTTCTGCAGCTCAGGATCTTTCTTTCCTTTGAACAATTGTACTCCGCGTATTCGAAACCCCACAGTGCAGCACCAGACTGCTCTGTAAAGGGGTCTTGTGTCTTCAGACAGAGCACAAATTCCATGCAGCTGTGATCAAACCTTTTGGTTCTACTGGTGTCTCCCTTGGAGCTGCCCCCTGATCCCCCCATCTAGTTCACAAGGTACATCACAAATAACTTCTGCCAAGGGTTTTACACTTCGTTGTATTTTGGTCCTCATAGTCCTTGGAGACAAATTTCATTTTCCCAACTTGTAGAGGAGGAACCCAGTCTCAGAGAAGTCCAGACATTTACCCAAGGCTCTCAGCTTTTTTCACCAGTGGGAGAACTAATTCAAGCAATCTTTTTGACATCAAGAATGCCTTCTCCTCTGACCAGGCTGGAACTGGGAAGGTGGATGAGGTGGAGCTGGAGCGAGGGGTGGGACAGGGTAGGAGGAAGGCAGGGGAGCTGCTCTGGGAAAAGCAGGTCTTGCTCAGACCATCTTGTTTTCTGTCTGCCCCCCTCACCCACCTACATCCCAGAATCGTACATTCCAGGAATCTGGATCATTTTATTGCTCCATCCTTCAGCACTTATGGGAAGGACTGGGCTAGAAGGGCACTTTGAATTCTTCCTCTCTAATTTCCAATCGCTTTCTAACCTCTGAGGGTAGGGCGCCCCAAGTATTCATTCTGGCCCTGCCATCTAGAAATTGATTAAGATCGATCCTGAGGTTGTTTATGGTCTCAATGCTTGAGGTCCAGGAGACTTGGCAATATCTTCTCTTCTATGTAAAAGAACAATTCTTTCTGTTGCCTTCGAACCCCCATCTCCAAGTTCCCCACTTCCTTCCCTTCCCGAAGCCTGTCAACTCTTTTCTCTGCCTTCACTTTCTGGGTCTTAATAGCTCCTGTTTGCTCAGGAGGTCAACCCTTTATGGCAGAGAGGACAGGGTGGGGATGGTCCTCACCATGTGGGCATCTGCCTCGGGGATGATGTAGGCAGAGATGTTCCTTGTCTGCATCTGCTGGCGCAGGGCTGTGAGCCGAGCTGTGGTATTGACCGCCGTAACTGGAAGGTACTGACAGGTGACAGGAATACACCAAGACACACACACACAGACACAGGCTGCTTAGAGAAAATGACGCCTGGGCCCCGAGACGCCAGAGGTACCCTTAGCCTGTCCTCAGGCAGGGGAGGCTGAGGGCAGGGAGCTCAAGGAGGAGGCAGTGCTGACGTAACGGATGAGTCTAGATTAAGGTGTCTGGGCTGAGGGAGATGTCGAAGTTGAAGGAGTTAGAGGGACTCTGTGACAGTTGTGGGACCTGAGTCTGTGATAGGGGTGCGGTAAAGGGGTCTGCGCCCAGGCACGAAGTGAGACCAGGGGGTGCGATCTCTCTTTGGATACCTTGGGGTAGAGTTGCCAGATTTAGTAAATTAAAATACAGGAAGCCCAGCTAGTCACATTTGCATTTCAGCTAAACAACAAATGACTTCTTCATAATAAGGTGTCCGAGCGTGAGTGTAGTGACACCTTGTAGTGTTCCCCATGATCTGAAATTCAGCTGCGGCACCTCCTGTATGTCATCTGGCAACCCTACCTTGGGGACAATTTCAGGTTCCCACTGAAGGGTCCCACATGGCAGATGAGGGAGAGTGAGTGCCCCAGCGTTTCGGGCCACTGTCCACAGCGATTCTCCCCAAGCCAGCCATTTCTTTGAAGGCTCTTTTGTCTTTAAAAGAAAAAGTGTGAGGTTTTGTCCTGTCTTGCCTTCTAGTCAGTCAGAGTGCCGTGTCTGTTTTAATTGGAAAGTAATGGGCTTTGCCCACCCACCTGCCTGCCCCACGGGGCAGTGAACATTGCAAGCAGATGTATCTCATTTGTCCCGAGGCTTCAGTGAGGTGCTGGCGGACCCACCAGCGCTAAACTTGGGACCATTTGTCCTGGTCTGACTGGAATGATCACTCTGGTCTCCAGCCAGGAAACTGGCAGTCTAGCAGCCCCAGTGTCCTGGGCCTGCTTCTTTTCTCACACCCCATGCCTGCTCTGTCTTCCTCCTTCCTCCTTTCTGTGTCTCTTCTCGCTGTTTCTCACAAATGTTTGCTTTCTTTTCTCTCATGCTCCTCCTCCTCACCTCTACTTTAGCCGCAGTCAAAGGCTAGCTGGGGGACTACAGTCCTTCTGCCCACCCCTCCTCCCTCCCTGCCAGCCCGGAAGGAGGTAACACACTGTGGGAAGGGGGGTTGGGGCGGATGTCAGACACCTGAGAATGCGCTGCTCCGCCCTGAAGGATGTTAATCAGAAACAGGGGCCCCAGAGCCCGGAAATGGAGAGAAAGGCTGGTGGAGGGAGAGGCTAGCCCCTGAACCCATGGGGGTCAGGAGGGAGGATGGTGGGCGCTGTGGGCAGGCTAGAGCCAGGGCCTCACCGGGGGGCTGGTGGAACAGTCTCTCACATCCTCTCTTCCAAGTTCTTCTGGCTTTGGGTGGCCCCAGGCACAAACTAGAAGTGGGGAGAAAAGTCCAGGATCACTCAGAGACCAGATATTTCCTAGAAAGCACAGGGCTAGGCCCCCCCCCAACACCCCTCCTGCCCCCATCCCCACAAGGCCTCCATCTTTTGAAGCATGCAATACTGCCCAACTGTACTTGAGGGCGAAAATAATCACATTTCATAGGAAATCAGACTGAATTGGATGGCACCCTGGGTCACAATCAAAGAACCCTGTTCCATCAACAAGTGATTGCCACTTTGGGATGGGTTTTAGTGCTCATTAAATCAATTTTTTTTCTTCTAATCTAATTGGGTCTTTTCAGGGTCTACCGAACTGGAAAAGTTGTGCGTAAATTAAATTTTTGTAATCAAATTTTCTTTGAAATGCTCTAAAGGACCTCGCTAAATAATCACCCCCACCTTCGTTTCATCCTTCTATAAATCTAATTGTATATATATCGGTTTGACTTAAATTCAAGATCCACTTGTACCGTTTCTTACAACTAAAGCGCTGGCTATCGTATCAGGAAAACCCTGGCCAACATCGTCGCCTACTGGGGACAGGAGGATTAGCATCTAGGGTGCTCCTACTGTGTGCCAGACAGTGCAGCCACTTCCTGGAGCAGCTCCTTGAGTACTTGCAACCACCCTGTGAGATGGAACCACTGTCTGCTTTCTGCAGCAGAGAAGGACAAGGCCCAGAGAGGAGTGACAGCGGGACTGACCCCAGGCCAATGTCACCATGGAAGGTGGTGACTCAGGAGAGATGGACAATGTAAGGACCTGCTTCCAACTTGAGTTCTGCCCAGATTGGATGTGATCCAAGGGAAGTTGCCCCAGATTCGCTGAACAAACTCTTCCTAAGTGTCTACTGTGTGTCAGGCACTGGAAGAGTCCTAAGGGCCCCAGGCCATCCTGCCCTGAGAGTCCGGTGGTCTCTGATAGCCTTCCCTCCGATTTTCGTGCCAATTTCCCCATCGGTTACTGGGGGGCTGAAAATGGAGGGATTTTTTTTTTTTTTTTTTTTTTTTTTTTTTTTTTTTTACCCTCTGAGTAGACTGAACTGCAGATGGAAGAAAGACAGCTTGGGGTCCAACATCATGATGACCCTGCCCGACCCTCTTGGTCTCAGGAACTGAGCCCCATAGTGCTGACTAAGAAAATGAACCCCCACTTCTGCAGGAGCAGATCTGTGACAAAGCAAAGATGCTGGACCTAACAGGAGAAACAAAACAAGCTAAGCTATGTGTCTCTTAACACCCGGATCTGTCTTCATCTGACCAGGGCTGTGGCTCCCCTGGGTAGGCTCTAAAGCTGGATCACGCTGTGGTCCCTGGCACCAGGATTGGTGGTGGGGAGGCGCTCAGGAAAGGGGTGCTAAACAAAGAACTGGGAGTCCTACTGACAGAGAGCACAGGAAAGCTAGGCCTGTCCCTAAGGGCCTCGGGCTGTGGGGGTGTAGAGGACACTTAGTTGGGCACACAAACAGGCACTGGAGGCATGAAAAAGCCCAAGCCTTAGGTCAGGCTTCTGATTCCTCTTCTCAACTAAGCCTTGACTTGGACCTTCTGTGTCCATCCTGCCCTTGCCGGACCTGCATCTGCCCATCTTAGCAAGAATCCTGCCGAGCTGATTTTGAGAGAAGCCCCAATTCCTGATATTTGAACACTCATATCTGATCACATTCCTGCACTCTTGATATCGGGACAGGAAGGCTAGTAGGTCACTTTAGCTGGAATCTTCCTAGTTTGAGGTCACCTCTTAGTATTTGTCCACCAACTCACCCCCATTCTGCTCACTGGCATTACGCTGTGGCTGAGCTCAGAGCTGAGCCTGGCCCTCTCCCCTTTGGCAACGCCTTGCTGGAATTGCCTTGAAGAAAGTCTTCCTGACCCTTTTAACACATGCCAGTCAATTTTTCTTTAACAGGTAGGAATGAAAAGGGATCAGACCAGCCTTGAGCTGACTCTTGGAGGCACAGAGGACCAGCCCTGGGGTTCTTCCTCAAGAGAGAGAACGGAGCCGAGAGAGAAAGAGACACTCTGGGCCCCAGCCTGGCCTCCAACCCTTTCTGAGCCCAGAGGGGAGGCAAGAACTTCTCTCCAGCTGGACCTGTCCTGGGGGAGGGGGGCTGGCCAGCATGCACATACCGCAGAGGAGGATAAGCCACGGGCAGCGGCCCCAGCGAGCCCAGGCCATGGGGTGTCCAGGTGCCGGTGCTAGGTGGATGAAGGGGTGGGGGGAGTGGGCAGAGCTGTCTCCCTTGGCCTCTTCCTCTATGCCTTTCCGGGGCAGCAGCAGCCAGGAACAGGGGCTGGCGATGGGGAAGAGGTGTCCAGCTGGAATGAGAGCTGTTACTGGTCTTTTGTATTTGAAGGCCCTCTGGGCGTCAAGGTGGGGGGGGGAGGCAGTGACTGCCCCAGGGTGTGAGGCTGCCCAGGGCAGAGTCTAAGTCCCTGACAGAGTCCAAAGACCTCTGGGAGTGAGGAGCAGCAGCTGGTCTCAATCAGCTCCCAGCTCCCAGCCCCCTCTTCTGCAGCCATCTCGGACCACTCCCGAAGTCTGCTCCCCTCTCTCCAGCAAGCTGTTTCCCATTAGCTCCCCGACGCAGGGTTCTGGCTACAGCCCTGCTTCTTCTTTGAGATGAATGTTTACCCTTCTTCCTCCTCAGAGTCGGTGGATTGCCAGAAAAAAAAACATCAGTCCTGTCTCCCTAGGCCTGGGGAGCCCCACTGAACCCCTTGGGGAAGTTGGACTGTTCCTCTCCCCCTCCGGAGAGCCCTTCTCTCTGCCCTGCAGAGTCCCACCCAGGGCACACTTTCCAGTCAGGGAGGTCTGAACTGTTAGTGCATTCACCCCAAGAGGAATGTAGGCTTGAAAGCCTATTGGAGAGTCAGTAGAAGCCACTTAACAGGGAAAAAGTTGGGAAGGAAAGCTTGGGGCCCCAGAAGATAAATTTGGATAGCAGGATATGTCCTTGCTGCCAGAGTAGGTCCCGGCTTGCCTGCAGTGGGGTCACATCTAACAGGCTTCCTGTGGGGTCACATCTAGCAGGCTCCTGTGGGGTCACATCTAACAGGCTCCCTGTGGGCAAGAAGAGAGGAGCCAGGCTCGAAGCCATGCCCACCTGCCCCTAGGGCAGCTGAACATTGGAGCCAAAGCAGGTCCTCAGTAAATGCCTTCTAGAACCCACTGCCCAGAGAGGAATGCTTCCAGGAGACAAAGACCCCCCCAAGGGACAGGAGCTCACCTAGCCTGGAGGCCCCGCCCCCCAGACAAACCACTCCTGGCCATTAATCTTTTTTATAATGTATTTATGTTGTATTGGCACCTCAGATTTAAAGCAGCTTTCAAATACCCACCTCCATACAATACAAGGCCGTTGGAGGAGCAAAGAGGACCTGGAGGACACCCTGAGAGAGGGGAGTCTGAATAAGTGAGAAGGTTTCATGGATTCCACTTCTGGGATTAAAAGCAGACAGGCCAGGCACAAGGTCAAGTACTGTTCAGTCGCCTTTGCTGCTCCTGCTGCCGGTTCCCTGCCCTTCTCCTCTGCACAGCTCCAGGGCTGGGAATAAAGTTATTTCTAGACATCAGAGGTGAGGGTGAAGGCACTTGAAGGCCCCTCCCTGTGTAGTTAGCGAGCCCCTACAGCCTAGTTTCTGTGTTTGCCTTAGGCCCGAGAGGACCCCTCCCCTGCCTGCCTTCCCTGCCTCCTCTCGTCTCGTCTAGTTCCAGCTCTCTCCCCTACTGGCTGTGAGCCTTGGGGCCAGGCTGCCTGGTCTCGCTCCAGCCCTCTCCGGCACTAGCTGTGTGGTCTTGGGCAGATGAATTCCCCTCTCCAGGCCCTCGGTTTTTTCCTGTGAAGTGGGGTAATAATAGTAGGAACTTCAGCAGGGCAAGAAATGAGTTTCCATTTGTGAAGTTCTCAGAACATGCCTGACATCAGGAGTAAATGCTCTGGGTTTGTTAGGTGAAAAACGTACTCGAAGGAAACCTTGCCCCGTCTGTACCTTGTTCTCCCCCCCTCCCATCCTCCCCTGCTGAAATGGCAGTTAATGCATAGCAAAGATCAGCCCAACGGCAGGGCTGAACTTGGAAGCAAATAAGCCTAGCAGGCTTCCCTCCCCATCCTTTGGACTCTGCCCCGACGGTCTTAGAAACTACCAAGGCCCTCTGCTTCTGAGCTCTGGGGTCCCTGCTTTGTTTTTACCCTCAGCTCCTCCCTTATTTCCTTATCTCGAAATCAAATGTCTTTACTCATCAGTTTGGGGAACTTGAACCCAAGCTGGCGACAGGCCTGAAGTGGAAAGAAATGATTCAGGGCGGGGAGGGTGAATGGCCAAGAGGCCTTGTACTGAGGTTGGGAGAAGGGCCCATCCCAGGGGTGTTGCCTGGCAGCCCACCACGGCTTGCCTCACTTTGGTTCAAAGCTAACCTAATGGTCATATTCTGAAACTGGAGGCGCTCCTGAAGGTTCTTGTCCTGGCCTCTCTCTCTCTCTCTCTCTTTTTTTTTTTTTACTATTTGCTCCCTGATTCCATCCTAGGCTGTCACCTGCTTTCTCTCTTTTCCTGTCACCTGCTTCCTGATCTGGGTCTGCCTTCTCTGGACACCAATGTCTGCCTACCTCCCTTTTCATGTGTCCAAGTTCTTGCAGTTCAAAGCCCCTCAGTTTGTTTTTTTAAAAGATTTATTTATTTATTCATATGGAACTGGGGTACAGGCCAGACATGCGGAGGGTGAGAGGCTTCACCAGAGACAGAGTGGGGAGCAGAACAGGCAGATCGACGAAGTACACTGCTGAGGGAGCAGCGGGCAAGCCACGAGAGGTCTGCCGCGCCATATGGATCTCCTCTGGGGCAGGCAGGGATCGAACTCATGCGGAAGGGCTTTAGCTTCTTAGTGTTGTGCTTTAACCCGCTGCGCCACGACGGAGGGCCACTTTCACCTGTTTTTTGATCTTACTGATACTTCTGTCACTTACCCTTCCTCCCTGTTTACCAGTATCCCCTTGTCTCACTTCCCTCTCTATAAAATCCATCACCCCAACCTTCCTTTTACTAGTACACTCATCTCTGCTGTCCCTTTACCCTGGACTACATCCATCTTGCCAATCTCCACCCGCAAGTAAAACATGTTTCCATCCCAGGGCCTTTGCACATACTGTTCCACTAATTGTAATATTCTCTTGCCAGATATCAACCTGGCTCACTCTACTTCATATTTCTATTCAAACATCACCTCTGCAGAATGGTTGCCCCTAATCTTATTATGTCAATACCACTACTATTCTTCTTCTTCTTCTTTTCATATTTGGCTTTATTCTTCAAAGCATTTATCTGACATTCTATTACACATCTATTTGTTTGTTTTTTCTCCATCTCCTCCACTGATATACAAATTCCATGAGAGCAGGAACTCTATTTTGTTCATTTCTGCATCTCATAGCCTAGAAAACTGCCTAATACTAGTAGATACTCATAGATATCTGACAGGTGAATGAGTAAACCTCAGGACATTTGAACCATCTGTCTTCCCCACTGGAGAACATATCGCAATTCTGTGGGTTAGAGTCACTCCAAATGCAAGGCCTTTTTATGCTGCTTTGCAACCCTTTCACTTCTCCTGGGTCATCTCCTTTTCCTGTTGCCCTCACGGGCAATTCTAGGCCTTTACTCTCACCCCAAGTCCCTGCCCTACCTGTGTTCTATTCAACGAATGTTTGGGTTGTTTCTGACTTTGCATTACTTCAGATAGGTGTACTGATAATCTGTGTGCACCTAGAGGGTGCATATCTAGGAGTAGAAATGTGTGCATTTTTCAATTCAACAAATTCTGCTAAGTTGCCCTTCAAGAAAAGCTGTATTGATTCACACTTCTACCAACCAGATATGCAAACAAAGAAAAAAAACCTGCGTTTACAACCTCAATTCACACTGGATATCATCAGTGGTTTAAATTTTTGTCAAATTGATGGGTGTTAATTAATCGCTTGTTGTTTTGTGTTTACCTGATTGCTGGTAAAGACTGCATATATTTTCATAGGTTTTGTCTTTTAATTTTTCAAATCTGAGTACATGTTCCTTTCCTTAGCCCCCTTTTTTATATGGGATCATTATTTTTTTCTTATTGAAAAGGAAATCTTTATACATTTTGTGTATTCCTCCTTTATCTGTTTGGCATATTACAGATATCTGCATGCCACAAATATTTTCTCTAACTTTGCATTCTATTTTCGAAACTTAATTTTGTATAATCAAATATCTACCAAGGTGTTATTTTATAATTTTTAGGATTTGTGATTGCTTGAAAAGGAAATAAATGCTATCCCATATTTTCTTCTAGAATGACAGATTCTTTTTTTGCAAATGCATGTGTGTGTAAATCATTATCCCATCTGGAATTCACGTTTGGATTTGATGTTTTGATATCAAAGTTTGGATATGACAAGATCCAACATATCCTGATTTTCCCCTTTTTTGACAACTAGTTGTCCCAACATAATTCATTGACTAGCAGATCTTTCCCACCAGTGGCAATGCCTTATTTAGTGGATATTATTTTTGCACATATACATCGGTCAGTGCTCGACTAGACATTTGGTTTTGTTCCTTTTTCTATGTGCTACTGTGCCAAAGCTCACTGTTTTAATTGCTCTAGTCTGTGTTGTGTTTTGCTAGCTCGTAGTACAAGCTTTACTTCCCCTGGCCTGCCCCCCTCCCCAACTTTTCCAAATACTTCTTTGTCAGAATTGCATATTTTCCTTTCTGGGTGAGCTCAAGATCAGCTTTTCATGTCTTACCAAAAAATCCATTATGATTCAAATTGAGAATCATATTGCATTAAATGTGTGACTTCCTCTGGGGAGATCATCTATCTTTATGAGTAAATTTGTAATCCTAAACTTTTATAGACATGTAAACGACCAACACATTTAACAATAATTACAGTAATAGGACTGAGTCTTTTTTCCAGCTTTACTGAGGTATAATTGGCAAATAAAACTGTAAGGTGTCGAGCTGCTCAAGGGGAGTCTGAGGTAGGCCTGTTGGTCTCTGGATGGCAGGGAAACAAAGCCTGGGACTGGGCTGGGTTCGTGAGGGGTCTCTCGCCTGGGGCTTGTCCCCCACTCTGTGCTTCTTGCCAAGGTGCTGTGCATCGGGGCTGTGAATCTGGCCTTAGCCTGCACACATCTG